AAGTGCTGCTCGGACATAAACAGGACATCTCTGCAACCCCACAAAGACCCAGGAACTGGTGGGCAGGAAGGCTGAAAGAGCCCGAGGCTGGTGAAGAGAGCTGTAAAATTGTCTTCTGAACTTGACATGGTCTCACACTCACGTCCTCATAGCCCATGCGGCCACTGGGCAGGATCAAGCCTGCCACCCCACGCCCACCTGTCTACGCACAGAATAAACAAATAATGCAATAATAAAAAACTTAAAGAGGCTTGTGTGCTATGTAGAAAGCTTCTGTAAATGGAAGCCCATAGAAATGAAAGTCACAGTCATGGACTGTTTGGGTGCCAAGAGGCCACAGAATGCTGACACCAACAAGACTGATTTAAAAACTTAACCACGCACATGCGCGTCTGTGTGCACACATGCCATACCACACATGTGGAGGTCAGGGGACAACTTGTGGGAGTCAGTTCTCTCCTCCCCCATGTGGGCCTCAGGGACTGAACCCAGGCTGTCAGGTTTGGCGGGAAGTACCTTTATCCACTGAGTCATCTTGTCAGCCCTAGATGATGGCTTTGTTTTACGAGGAAAAATGAACAAAGAGACTGATAAGGCAGTTCATACAAACGCCTGGCGTCTCTGGCAAGATGCTGGGCGCTTCCTCCCCCCACCATGGAGGGGAAGTCGCTGCGGTGTTTATCTCTGCAGGGGAGGGTGCAGAAGGCAGGCGCGAGCTGCAGGCGTGTGCTCTGCCTACAACCCTGACGGCAGGGAGCCCGCAGCTTCACACAGGGCCAGTGCTCTGTCGCTCAGCTTTCTGCGCTGAGCTCTCCTCCTGTGAATGGCCCTCTGACCACTGTGTCCTGCACAGCCCCTCATCCTAGCAGGTCTCTGCTAACTCCTTCCAAAGCCGTGGCTTCCCCCGTCAGATGTGAGCATCATGATGACCGGGGCCTTGTATGTATTATGATTCTGAGTCCAAAGCTGCAGACCAGGTGGCTCACCGAAGGGACATAACTCCACCTATCCATTTTAAGGAAGAGAAGAGGTTCACAGAGGGTGGCTGTTTGCTTGAGTTTGCACAGCCAGCCTGGACTCGGCTCCAGTGAATTTGAAAGCCACCTCTTTCTGAGCACGGAGGAAGGGGTAGGTGAGGGGCTAGAGGCAGACAGCACACATGCGGGTCTAAAGGGACCCCAGGAGCCAGGCGTTGGGGCTCGCAGGAGTCTCAAGGACCCATCTGCCTTTATGCCCCAATGCTGGGGTTACAGGCACAGGCAGCCATGCCTGTTTCTGTTTTTTTAGTTACAATTTGTGGTGCGTGTGTGTGTGTGTGTGTGTATGTGTGTTGTGAACATGTGGAGCTCAGAAGACAGGTAGCAGGAGTCTGTTCTCGCCCTTCTCTGTCCCAGGCTTGAAGTCAGGCTTGAGGGAAAGTGGCTTTACCTACTCAACCATCTCACTGGCCCCACGCCCAGCTTTTTCCAGGGGTCCTGGGGAGTCAAGGATTCAGGTAGGTCCTCAAGCTTGTTGAATAAGCACTCTTCCCACCAAACCATTTTTTGGTTGTTGTTGCTATTTTTAAACATATACACATATTTTTAAATATATATACATATATTTTTAATGTGTGTTATATGAATTGAACTCATGAAGATGATTGCAAGGCGACCCTTCCTGGGTTTGCCTGGTAGAATTTTTTCAAAGCCCTAGGAAGCTTTAGGAGACCCCTATTTCAGCTATGAACACTGAGGCTCAGGGGTGACAGGTCAGATCTCCTGGGGCTGACTGTAACTGTTAATTGCCTTTGTTTGCTGGGCAGAAGGAAAGGAGGAGAGCTTCTGTCCTTCCCCCTGACCCTGTTTCTCTCTGGGGAATGTCCCCCTTAAGCCTGGCTTGTGCTATTTGCCTGATGACTTTCCCTGTGGGATGAGGAGCCACCCTGGCAGAAAACTCCCGGGACTGAGGTCTTACCATAAGGACAGGCCTACTTCTGACTTCCTTGTCCACTTCTGCCATTGGGCCCTGGAATCTGCAGCCACAGCTGACGGACGCTGCCCAAGGGGGGCCTCAGTCACAGCCACAGCCACTCAAGGCTTCCCACCCTGGTCTTCCCAATGCACATGTTGGTGACCTCAGCGCATGCCAGGGACACAAGGATGAAAGTGGCTTTTGAGCTGCGCAGTGCTGCACACGCACCTGTCCTGGGAAACTTCCTGTGTCTCTGCGGAAAAGTCACCCCCTGGGCCGAAGAGCTGGCTTGCAGTGGATGTAAACATGTTTTTGTTCTGATCCCAAGAGTGGGATGTGGAAATATTTTTGGTATTCCTCTATCCCCTCCCAAAAACAGCCCTGTGAAAAGGTTTGTTGGCTGGGAACTGCATCCTGGGAGGGTGTGGTTTTTCTCCACTGAAAAATATACTGTGTGGACTTTGGGGGCAGGGTGTAAAATAGCCCCCAAACAGAGATCACTCTGCATCTCTTGGCTCTGCTTCACATCTAGGCCTACAATGGCTCACAGTTAGGAGTGCTGGACGCTTTTGCAGAGGAGCAGCGTTGGGTTTCCAGCATCCATGCCAGGTGCTCACAACTGCCTGAAACTCGAGCTGTAGCTATTGAACACCTATTTCTGACCTCTTTTAACACCTGCACTTACATACACAAATCCACAAACAGATACACATGTACATATTAATTAAAAATAAAATTTGATAAAAGCATGCTCCCTCCATCCGGGAAGTTTGCTGGGCTTCCTGGCTAAGCAGGTCCTCTCCTGCAGACCAGGCTCCCTCGGTGGGTGCATGTGTGCCTGCTTTTGGGTTTGTACACGTATGTGCACATTCTGGGTGAAGGTGCCCCCATTACTCCTGTGGAGGTCAGAGGTCATGTGCGCTCCACCTTTTGTTTGAGACAGTCTGGAGCTTCCAGGATGGAGCAGGCAGTCTGCTGGGCAGAACCTGCTGGGGATGGGAGGAGGAGCCAGAGGCCACTAAAAGGCGGTGCTTCTGGTGGGGGTTGCCTCATGGCCGGAGAGCTCAGTGCTGTGCAAGCCCCTGCATTGCTCTCAGTCAGTGAGAGACACTGTAGAGGGGAAAACCCTGCGATTGTTTCCAGCTGTGCAACTGGGGCTCGATGCTGGCCCTCTCTGGGCTTCAGCTGCTTTTCTGTTGACACCGGGACTCCTTAGAGTGTGGAGGGAAACATCGGGCCATGTGTGGATGCTGGGCCTTTGAAGAAAGCAGATAGTTTATGTAGAGCAACTAGGGCACAGGAGGCGTGATTTAGGGAGCGGAGCCAAGGCATGGTGGGAGAACTTTCCTCACACTCTTACAGAGCCCTAGTTGGCAAGCATCAGTGGTGACCAGCCTGTTTCCTCACACCCTCTTTTGTGGCTCTATGTCTATGGAACCGTCCATGGCTTCTTCCCCTACACAAGAGGTGTGAAGTCACGAGGACTGGGACACATGTTGTGTGACCCTGAGTGGTGCCTGAATTGGTTCCCATCTACTTGGCGCTGGCTCCGCCCCCAATATGTTGGCCACCTGCCCAGGAAGGGGGAGGCCTGTCAAGGATTGGCTGGCCCAGCCCAGACTCCTCTAGCCTCCCCTGAACAGGAGCCAGAAAAGGGGAGAGAAGGACCCGGGGAGCATAGCCCTCCTGTGAGTTGCCTGAAGGTGGGCGGGGTGCCGTCCCAGGCTGGGGCGGGACAGGAAGTCAGCAGCTGCTGTTGGTTTCGGGCTAATGGTCCCTGCCACCGTTATAGGGCTCTTATAGGGCTCAGACTCTTTCCTCCTCCTCCCCCCCCTCCTTCATCTACTTCTCTTCTATCTCCTCCCTCCCCATTCCATTTCTCCCTCTTTCTCCTCCTTGCCCCTCCCTGCATTGCTCTGGGTCTCTCTCCCTGCCCTGCTCTTCCTCATACATGCCCCAGGATTCTCATCCTGAATGCGTTTTCCCTGCAGGACGCCACAGCTGAGCCTGTCCTGGCTGGACCTGGGGCCTGCAGCAGTCTCCCTATTGCTGTTCCTGCTGGCGGCTGGGGCCTCCTGGCTCCTAGCTTACACCCTGACCCAGGCTTATGCTGCCTGTGAAAACTCTCATCACCTCCGCCGTTTCCCTCAGCCCCCCAAATGAAACTGGTTCTTTGGCCACCTGGGCCTGGCGAGTGTGGCAGTGAGGGGGTCTGGGGTGTCAGGGTGGAATTGTGAGGCACCTGGAATGGGGCTCAGGGAGCTGGGGACAGGGCTGTGCTGGGGCCTAGGATAGCAGAATGACATCATTCCGCAGATGCACTGTCCTGAGCCTTTCCTACCCTGAGTCTTCTCTGGGTCCATCTCTACCTGTCTTTGCTGTGGATGGGCATGCTGCAGGGTTCCCAGCATGGGCTTTATGGAGCGAGGACCCTGGTGGGCCCAAGTTTTCTGTGCTGAACTTGAGGCCGCCTAAAGGGAGACCAGTGCCAGTCCTCTATACCTATTTTTTTCAGTCCATCTCTGGCCTCCCACTGGACACAAAAATGAGCTGAAATCCCTACCCAGGCACACCCAGGCAGTAACTGGCTCAGGAGAGCTCTAGGGGCTGATTTCCGCCCCACCCCAGGCCTTCAGCACCTCCCTCTTATGTCTAGCTTCTCCACTGAGATGTACCAATGAGGCCTGTGGCTCAATCTAGAGAAGAGCTGGCCGCTCGCTTCCCCTTTTAGAACCCTTCCCAGAACCCGTCCTCCACCGCAGACCTTGAATGTCAACTTAGCTCTGTTTTCCCCTCTGTGTGATTTGCTTTCCTTGTAAGTGGGCTGGTGCCAAGTTCAGCTGGCCCACACATGGCCACTCTGCTACAGCCTGGTGTCGGCAGCTGAGAGGTGTGAGCGGCCACACAGTGGAGACGTAGAGGTCGCCTCTGCTCCACACACGTGACCCTTCCACACAGGATCCACCAGATGTCCATGGCTGTCTTGTTAACCTTCCTGGGGAGATGTAAACCCGGGTGTATTCACTCCAGGCAGGCGCCAACGTAACATGCCCATCAGTGTCCTGCTGGGTGAGAACAATGGGCTTATTAGGAGTTTTTACAGCGAACAGGCGAGAGGTGACCTGTTGTATCCTGGGTATCACTGTACGGTCCTCCCTGTGATGGGTGATGACCTCATGGAAGCTCCACCCTGGAGTTCTGATTTAAACCCCCCTTTCCCTGTATACTTTACCCTATCCCAAGGTCACTTGCTGTTGGGGGAGAGAGTCCCAGAGAGGGTCTCCTGACCCTCCCTCAGCAGCCCTGACAGCTCCACCACCACTGGCATGACTGCTACTCTGCTGTCATGTAGGTGCCCTGCCTACCAGGAGAAGCTGAAAACGGCATTCTGTTAGGCCTAGAGGGAAAAGTGCCATATAGGAGTGGGTCCAGACCATGGAGGGGCACGGGAGGCCTTGGATCCAAGTCCTGCAACCACACTCTTCCCACTGTGCCCCAAATAAGTTTCCTCTGTGGTAGCCCCGACGCTGTGATGCTCCCAGGATAAGAGCACCCATATTCCAAGGTGGACTCTCCCTGGGGAGACATCAGCTGCCTTCTCTTCCTCCAGGATAAGGGACCAGGGCAGGGTGATGAGACACCTTCCCTCAGCTCTTTGTTGGTGTGCCACAGAGCGTGGGTGACCTCGCACCCGCAACACTGACAAGCTAACCCCAGCATGCGATGACTATATCCCCGAGACTGCCCGCAGGACACACAGCCAGCTCCGCCAGAGTGTCTGCACCTCCGCAGCTGTTCCTGCTGATTCTGTAGGCTTCCTGGATTCTAGGTTCACTAGCCTACTGAGTCTCATGACCCTTCCTTCTGCCAGAGGGAAACAACTGCACAGCCTTTTCCTGGGGAGACACCACACAGGTACAACAAAGCCCAGATGTGGAGCCTAGGTCAGACCCATGTGACCGTGTTTACCAGAGTCTAATTTGGGGTACTGGTGAGTTTAGTGGAGTTACTAACAGGAATGCGGATGAGAATTATGGAAGCAGGGAGGACCCCAAAGGACCTCAAAGCAGGATGGTGGCCAGGAGCTCGCTGCATGACTTGTGAGCAGCTCACAGGGATCTCCCCAGGCACCATCTGACTCACCTGTGCGCGTGCGGCTCCTGTCTGCAGCTTTTCAAGTGGGGTTTTCTAAGTGGCCTTCATCTGGTGTGTGCCGTTACCTGGTGGGCCTGGTTCTCTCTGGCGCCGAAAACACTTGGGACATGTTGGGTTCTGACTGGTTCTTGTCTGAGGTGTTGTTAGAAACAATCGTTTTCTCTTGGCTGTGTCTCCACCCTGTTGGGAGTGTTTAAAGTCTGAGATGAGGAACTCTTGAGATATGACTGAGTCCTTATTTGAGAGAAATATGAGTAATGGTGAAACATGTTGAGGTCACATCAAGGAAGTTATTTTTAATATTTTTATATTTATTCAGTGTGTGCACATGTGTGTACGATAGAGCAAGGGTGAAAGTCAGCAGACAACTTGCAGGGTCAGTTCTCTTCTTCCACTGTGGCCCAGGAATTGAACTCAGGGCATCAGGGTTGGTGGCAAGTACCTTTACCCTACTGAGCCATCTTGCTGCCCCCCAAATGAACTTTTTCCCCCTCTAAAAATATATTTTCCTAACCACTATATTTCATTTTCACTATGTAGCCGTGGCTTGCCTTGAACTAACAATGTAGACCGGGCTGGCCTTAAACTTACAGAGATCTATCTGCCTCTCCAGAATGCTGGGATTAAAGGCCTGTGCCGTGCCTGGCCCACAGGTAGACTTTCAAACCCCATTTGGAGCCTGCCGGGGTGTGTGTGTGTGTGTGTGTGCTGAGGTGTGTTTAACCGTCTGTGTCACAGATAGGACATGTTGTGTGTGTGTCAGTCCAGTTATCCTGTGTGTGTCTGTGTCATATGACCGTGCCAGACAGTGTCAGCACATGCTGGGGTGGACACGAGCATTGGGTCTCTGGGAAAGCCTATATGATGCTGTGCTCAGCAGGGAAAGCCAGCTAGAGCATGCAGAAGCCGTGTGAAGGTGTGCTGCTGTCTCTAGCTCCTGTCTGGCCCCTCCTGTCTCCCTCCTTCCTGCACCCTCTGTCCCTGTCCTCAGCCCTCCCATATGGAGTTGGAGGGAGTGTGCAGACCCCAGGCTGAGGCCTGTCTCTCTCATGCCCTCTGTCCACCATGGCTCTTAATGGTCTTTGTTCACACCAGCTTCAGTTGCTCCCAAGGACACAGTCTTCTACAGTTTCCTGAGGCCGTGGCTGGGTGAGTGTCTACAGATGACGGGCTGGGAGCACGCGTGAGGGCCACGGGACGGTGCTCTCCAGACCTACTGCCGTGCTTCTCCGTCAGGGGATGGCCTCTTGCTGGGTGCTGTTGACAAGTGGAGCCTCCACTGTCGCATGCTGACCCCTGCCTTCCATTTCAACATCCTGAAGGCCTATGTGAAGATTTTTAATGACAGCACCAATATCATGCATGTGAGTCCCTGGAACTTGAGTCCCAGTGGGAGCCCGGGGAATGAAGGACGTGTAGACAGATCTGGTCTCCAGCCCTCAGACGGAGGCTGTGATCAAATACCCTGAAAGAAGCATTTCAGGAAGGAAGGGTTTAGTTGGCTCTCGGTTCAAGGTTATAGTCCACTGTTCAGGGGAGTCCCAGTGGCGGAAGTAGAGGCAGCTGGTCCCACTGCATCCACAGCCAGGAAGCAGCTGAATGCTGGTGCTCCTCTCACTTTGCTCTGTTTGTAACCCAGGATTCCAGCCCCGGGTGCAGCTGCCCACTTTTAAGATGGATTGTTGCACTTCAGTTAACCCAACTAAGTGCAGCGTATGAGCTTGTGTTCAGCTCCCTTCCATTTCTGTGATAAAATTCACTGACAATAAGCGACTTAGGGAAGAGAGGATTTGTTTGGCTCGAGTCCATCATTGCAAAGCAGTCAAAGAGGGGACTGAAAGCGTCCCAGCCACAGTCAAGGGCAGAGACTAAATGTGTGGTGCATGGGCGCTCACAGCCAGCTCTCTCCTCTCTGCGAGGCTGAGGAGCCTCTGCCATGGGATTGGTGCCACCACAGTGGGAGGATGATTCCCCTAACGTGTGTCCATAGGCCAACCTGATCTAGAAAACACCTCACAGAAATCTTCCTAGGTGATTCTAACTGTGTCAAGTTGACAGTCTCAAAACTAGCCAGCACATTCACCTAACCCCTTACAGTCATGCCCAGAGGGCAGCCGAGAGCAGACCACCCCTCACAGGCATGCCTGGAGGCCTGTCTCCTATATAATTCCAGATTCTGTGAGGTTGACAATCAACATGGATCATCACAGAAAGTTTGTGTGGGTCATTGCTAAGTATCTCTGACCCTCAGTTTCCACAACTGCAAAATAGGGTTAAAATCTCTCCTCTGTGCCCATCATGGTACCATGGAGTCAGGTTCCCAATCACAGTGGGTACTCAGAAGTTTGTTAGTTTCCCACATGGTCACCATGAAAACTCAACAGTCATGGTGAAAATGTCATAGAAAATACTGACGAGGAGCAAATCATTGTAAATCCCTTGGCTGGAGGCAATGAGGGACGCTGCTGCCGACAAGGTTTTGGTGTGTGGGAAGACGGGTTTTTCTGTATAAGGCCTGAGCTAATCATGGGATATCATCACAGAGGGTCAGGTTTGAATGTCACCTGCGTCTAGCTCAGATCCTTCAGGTTGAGGACCTGGTCAACTTCAGGCTGATTCAGAGTAGCCACAGGACCCAAGTTGGGTTCCCATACCCTCGTATCAGGTGGCTGGATTCTGAAACTTCAGCTCCGAGGGATCTGATGCCCTCTTCTGACTTCCCAAAACACTGCAGCTCTGTGCATATACACAGACAGATGCTCACACACAACAACAACAAAATCCATAAACGTGGATGGAGTGGCTCCAGAAGCGACACTTGGAAGTTTGTCTCTGTGGCTCTTTCCCTCCAGAAGGCATCTGGGATGTTCCCGTGGCATAGGGTTTCATAGGAATGGGAGAGGAGGAAAGTCACTAGAGGTTTACGTTTCCCCCTTCTCTTCACATGTATGTGTGGCATATGTACCAGTGTGTATGTATGTTCACGTGTGTGTGTGTGTGTGTGTGTGTGTGTGTGTGTGTGTGTGTAGGTCCAAGCTTGATGTGGGAATCTTCTGTCATTTCCCCCAGCTTTACTCATTAACACAGGGACTCTCAAGCAAACCCAAAGTGCATCAATACAGCTAGTCTTCTAGCCACCTTGCTGTGGAGATTCAGGCTCTTCCCCCCCCCATGCTGGGATTAAAGGCATGAGTGGTCATGCCAGGATGAGATCTTCTGTGATAGGAAACACAAGGAAGTCTGCAAACACATCTGAGAAATGGCCTAGTTGAGGAATAATAGGACAGGGAATTAATGGTAACCCTAGGAAGGATTCTCATTATTAGGGGCAATAGCCTGTCACACACCACATGTGTGTGTGCATGTGGAGATCAGAGGTCAACTCTGAGTACCTTCCCTCAGTCGCATTCAGCTTGCTTGCTGACACAGGGTCTCTCACTGAAGAAAGCTCTCCAGTTAGGCTAAGCTAGCTGGCTTCTGAGCCCTCAGGGCCTTCCTCTCTTACAGATGCCACTGTGCCACCCAAAAACCCCGTGGGTTCTGGGAATTGAACTCAGATCCTCAAGCCTGCATGGCTTGTACTTTTTTTGACTCAGTCATCTTACCAGTACCCAGGGATATTTTTGAAATAAATTTATAACAGTGATGATCAAGAAAGTTAACACCGACTGAATACCTTGTAAGTCAGACAAGGTCATCATACTGATGTTATAATGTTTGCTTTAACTTTCACAAGTTTGTCAAGTAGGGGCTGTTTCTGCCCAGTAAGGTGAGCCTGAAGGTCTGACACAGCAGGACCTTGTTCAAGTCCACCCAGGTAAAGAAGCAATGTAGGGATGGTAGACTGTAAAAGCTCAAGCCTTATACTATCATAGATAATTTTTCTTGTTGTACAGTTAGTTTTTCAACATTTTTTTGAGAGGAAACATATGAAGATTGAAATCGAAAGTAGGGAGTTTACTCTAGTGGTTACAATTGTAGTAAGTACTGTGATGGCTTTTTCAAGTCCTAATCGTGCTCTCAAAGGAATCTGAAATGGGGTTATTTTTAAGTGCAGGAAAAGTCTGTCTGTATAATTAAAATTATCTTTTGGGGTGGTTTATTGTGATTCGTTGTCTCAGAGGCTCCTACAACTCTGGAGTCTCCCAAGTCTTTTTGGTGTCCAGCCAAACTTGAAGAACCGATGCCTCCTCTGGAGACGACCCCTGGCGAATTTCTCCTGTCAGATGTCTCCTGTCCTCTGTCAGATGTCCTCTGCTCTCTGCAACATTGATGGGTTTTCACCTTCTCCAATCACTTTGGGTTTTTCTTCCAGCTACCTGGGGTACCAGGTATAAATGTTGCTTTTTTTCCCCACAGGTGAAGGGAGGAGATGAGAGCTGTTTGAATACATGGCTTGGGCTGAGCTTAGAGTGTTTCGCTCTCTGTTTTTACTATCCATACACCTAGGCCTGGAAGCTTCTAATCTCTGTACAACCTAATCTTCTACAAACCTGGACCTTGAAAACTTCAGCTTCCAGCCTCAGTCTGCTAACCTAGGCCTACAATGTTTCAGCTTCCAAGATTTACTGCTGAATAAACTCACCTTTTCTAGTTCTTTCTAAACTCTGGTTGGCTGGTTCAACTCAAAACTCCTCTCCAAGCTGACTGATTCAATCTGGCTTCTTTTGGCTTCTGACTGAATTGTTCTGTTTGGCCTCAAGCTAGCTTTGGCAATATGTTCCCATCTTCTGGCTCCTTTTCATTCCCTGGCTCATTCTGTCTTCACTGGGGTTTAGCTGTTCTCTCTGCCAACCTGTATCTGTAAAACTATCCTACTAAAAAACTGTCTTGCCTTGCGGTGCTCTTAAGCAGCCACATTTTCCTGTGCTGTTTTGTGAGAGTTGAGTGTATCCTATCTCTGAATCATTCTGTCAGATCTTTCTCTGATTCATCACTTTGTCTGTCCTTCAATTAGTTTCAACCATGGTTGCTCACTTTCAAACATGGCTGCTTCCTATTATAAACTAACCTTAACTTCATTGTTAGGAATTAAAGGTGTGTACTAAGGTTGTATCTGTAGTCCAGCCAGACCATATTGTAATACAGGGTGTGTCTGTATTCCAGCTGGATCATATAGACCTAGAAGGTCTTTGGATGTGATCCCTTGCCAGAGCAGCCATATTGCTGGATTAACATTTCTCTACAAAGGAATACAGATTACATTTTGGCTGGGCTCATAGCAAATCAGATCAAATCAGAGGCTGTTTCAGGGGCTTCTTTCTGGTGGTTGGGGTTGGGAAGAGACTCAGAGTGCCAAGGCCAAGTCTCATTCCTGTCTTTTTCTCTGGCTAGGCCAAGTGGCAGCACCTAGCCTCCAAGGGCAGTTCCCTTCTGGACATGTTTGAACACAGCAGCCTCATGACCCTTGACAGTCTGCAGAAGTGTGTCTTCGGCTTCAACAGCAATTGCCAGGAGTGAGTCTGGGGAGTCTGAACCACAGACACATGGAGGGAGGACTGGACAGAGGGAGGAGAAGGGCTTTCCTGGAGGAAGTGGCTTAGAACTAGCATTAAAGGACCTGGGAGAGGAGACAGGGTGTGGCCCTTCCTGGAGGTGCAATTGTTCAGATGATGGCATAGAGATGCATTCAGTGGTGAAGAAGCATCTTGCTGATTAGGGTATTGAAGGATATGGTGGCTGAATTTTTTTATTAAATTTTTATTTTTTATATTAATTATATTTTATTTGAGTTGTATCCCAGCTGTAACCCCTCCCTCATTTTCTCCCAATCCCACCCTCCCTTCTTCATCTCCTCCCATTCCCCTCTCCAAGTCTACTGATAGGGGAGGTCTTTCTCTCCTTCCATCTGACCCTAGTTTACCAGGTCTCATCAGGACTAGCTGCAACATCCTCCTCTGTGGCCTGGCAAGGCTGCTTTTCCCTCAGGGGGGCATGATGGCTGAATTCTAAGGACCCTGAAAAGCTAGGTCATTATGAGATTTCAAGGAAACCACTGAAGGTGTTTGGATTTGTAATAGTCAGATTTCTCTTACTGTAACGTATTATCTTAGACAATCAACATCAAGAGAAGAAAGACTTGTTTGAACCCAGGGTTTCAGAGGCTTCAGTCAGTGATCATTTGTCTCCTGTGATAAGATAATACCTCAAAGTTGGAACATGGGATGTGGGGTTTTTGAAAGTAAAGAGAGAGATGGAGGAGGGGCTCATCTGTTCCCATCTGAGACTATAGTGCTGGGGATCTGTAGGCATGTTGTGTGGCACTATTCCTGGGGAGATGTAAACAAACCTCACCCCAGGTAGGGATCCTGTGACAGACCAAAGTGTGGCTGCCACCGAAGCCCAGCTTTGTTGCAGGATACTTGATCCCACTGTAAAATGAAATCAAATACCCTGCAACGCAACTCAGCGAACCAGTGAGTTTTACTGACATTACTCACAGAAGCAGAAATGACAGCTGCATCACTGTAGCCCACCCCAGCGTTGGCAACAACTCACAAAGCTGGAACTTCAAAGCTGCAGCTCTGTGGGTTAGACTGTCTCTTCCCAGCAGTCCTTATTACTTAGGTAACTTTGGGGAAGGAGGGACCTTGTGAACCTGGTGAGTTTCAGGGATTTTCTGAGATGTGAGAGTTGTCTACCTCCTGAGTCTTAATGAATATTGTTCCAGGATGGAACGTTTCAACTCAGAGGAAATTGCTATACAGTAAGGCAGTTAATGGTTGCTAGAGATGGAGAAACATTTTCTTCAGTGGTGTAGCCACTGGTAAGATGTTCGAACTCCTGTAAACAAACCCTAGTTAAACTCATTGAGTCATTTGTAATAACAATTAATTATAGACATGGAAGTGGAAAGAAGACAATTTGGGAAGAAGAAGGGAATTAAGAGTGTGAAGGGGACAAGAGAGTGTAATGGGGCTAATATGATCAAAATACATAAAATAAATGAATGAGTGAAAAGTGTTACAATGAAACCCCTCATTGTATACAATAGATGCTAAGAAAAATATTTTTAAAGAGAGATAGGAAACAGATATCCTTCCTAAAAACTATCCGGGTTTTTTTTTTTTTATCCTATAAAATAACTCTTCCTATACTAATTTCCCTTCATAAGGCTCCCAAGACTGACCACTACACCCAGAGCTCTGGGGACAGCTGGGCAGGAGATGGTCAGCATCTAAGTTGAGCTCTGTGGACACTGACTGTTCTAAAGACACTAATGAGTTCCCATGTTCAGTAGAACTTAGGCCCAGAACTGTCAGAAAGAACTGTCCATTGTGGGCACGGAGTTTGAGGAAGGAGGTGGGGCTCTCTGGATCCTGGGTGGAGGAGGAAGGGGAGGAGTCCACACTGTACCCTCGGGTGTGGAGGCAGCAAAAGCCAGGAGCCTGGAGGGTCTCGGGGCTCTTTCCTGTGGCTGATGAGTTGACTTTTCCCTGGGAGATTCAACCAACACCTCTTCCCCCAAGGTAGGCACTCAGGACAGACCAAAATTGGAGCCCCCTAAAGTCCACCTCTGGGAGACCACTGAGGCAAACACAGGTCTCAGCCCAAAGAAGAGAAGAGACTGTTTTGTTCTGTAGCAAAGTGTGAGTGACCGTGGCCCAGAAACAGGGTCAGGTTTCCTCAAACTTTATGTTTCAACATGGAAACAGTTTGACTAAGTTTTTATAGTAGCAGAACAAAGAAAGTCATAAACTGGGCATGGTGGAGAGACAGCTCAGTGGTTAAGGGCACTCACTGAACTTGTGAAGGACCCAGGTTTAGTTCCCACCCCCAACCCCAAGGCTCCAGTTCCAGGGGACCCAACCCCCTTTCTGGCCTCTCTGGGCTTCAGGCATGCACATGACGCACATTCACACATGCAGGCAAAACACTCATCACATAGAATGAAATAAATAAGTCTAACCTGAAAAACAGGCCCAAATCAAGGCGCTTTAGGAAATGTCGATGGAGACATCAGGCAGGTGGGTTAATGTAAAGAGGGATTTCTGCTGGGTGCAGGTGGTGCCTGATGGCACAGCTGGTGGAAACTGCGGTGAAGCGCCTGCATTCTAAAAGGTTTCAGTTGTTAGCCGTAGGTTGTTAGGTCAGACACAGAGACGGCAAGGAATGAGAGCTGTTATGGAAGCTGAAGACAGCCTAGGATAGCTTAAAATTAGACTGTGGACCTGACACATTCCCGCTCTCCACAGTTATTGACGTTCTAGTCATTGAATCAGCCTTGCAGAAGGTTCAAGGCAACTGAAATTTCTTCCAGGAGCTTCCTTCTCATAGGTTTACTAGACTTACTTTAAAGCACAGAGGAGGGGTTACTTACAGAAACATGGGGAATCCCCAAACAGCTCCCTTATCACCAAGTCCCACCTATTGTGGATGGTGATCTCATAGTGTGCATGGAGTCTCGCTGTCTATATACTTTGGCATCTGGTAAGATCCCTTGCAGCAGTGGGAGGGGACAGAGAGAAATAGCTGGAGTCTCATGTGAGGGCCTCCTGACTCCCCTCCAGATACTTAGGGGCACACATAGGGATGTTACTATTACCATAGACCTGGGCACACTGTATTGTTCTGCTCTAGTTGCTATGGCTCCTGGGCAAAGTCCAAAATGGTGTCAAGAGTAAACTTGTGCTTCTAGCTTCTCCATTTCCCATGGGCAGCAGCTCCTGGGAATATTCACATATGTTTTAAAGTATCGACTCTATGCCTACACCCTCCAGGAAGCCTAGTGAATACATTTCTGCCATCTTGGAACTTAGTGTCCTCGTGGTCAGAAGACACCAGAAGCTTCTTCTGCACTTGGACCTGTTCTATCACCTCACCAATGATGGGATGCGCTTCAGGAAGGCCTGCCGCCTAGTGCATGACTTCACCGACGCGTCATACGGGAGCGGCGCCGCGCCCTCCCTGACCAGGGTGGTGATGAAGCTCTCAAGGCCAAGGCTAAGACTTTGGACCTCATTGATGTGCTGCTGCTGAGCAAGGTGGGCTTCCTGCGGGGAGCGGAGAGGAGGGCACTGACCTTGGGCTGACAAAATCAAGTCTGCTCTGCCTTTTCTGTGTCCTAACCCTGTGCAGGCTCCACTCACTGGAATCTGGCCCTGAGCCCTTCACCACCTGGCAGACTAAGGTGTCTGGAACCCTGAATTGGCTTCTAGATCCTTTGAGCCAACTCAGACCAGGGAGAGGCTCTGAGCCCAGGGATGTTCTTGACTTCCAAGCTACAGGTCTAAGTCTTTGCACATAACCTGCACAGAGAGAGGGTGGGAAGGAGATCCTGAGTTCCAACCACGCCAACTCTCCTCATCCCTGTTTGTCAGGCCCAGAGCCCACTAATCACCCCTGGACTCACCTGGGCCTGGGTGAAAGAGGAATAAAGGTCAGGGGTGACCTGCCTTTGATATTGTTAGGTCAGGAGAGACCCAGCCACGCTGGGTGAGGGGGATTTTCCCGCACAGCCAGGAGCAGAGCCTTTCACATCCGAGGGGACTTTGAGAGCTGATCCCCCTCCTCTGGGGCTGCTTGGTGGCAAGAGCTTTTATCCACAGAACCCTCTCCCCTGGCCTTTTCCTGGAGCACAGGAGCACACTCTTCTGATTTCAGAGGCAATCCCATTCAACTTCTACATCCCATGAGCACTCACATCTCCAGACACTTGTAGCACAGGGATAAAGAACATTGATGGTGCCGGTTCCTCCAACCAGGGTCAGGACAGGAGATGATGATGTCACTGGTGCGGGGGCTCTGATGAACACCAGCACACGGTACAGGTGTACAGATGGACCAGGGGTCTTCAGAGACTGTCCCAGGTTAGATGCAGAAGCCCTCAAAGCTGCTGCCATTTGTTGTCTTGCCTTGTCTTCAGGATGAACATGGAAAGGCGCTGTCTGATGAAGACATCTGAGCAGCCAACACCTTCATGTTTGGAGGTGAATGAGCATTCCCCGTGAACTGTTACCGAGGGGCCAGGGATCTGGGGATCCTGGCCGCATTGCAAGCTGACCCTGGATCCTTCTATTCCTTCCCCCTCCCTGTCCTTACTGTCAAGATGAGAGTGGGATGGGCTACCTTTGTGCTGTCCCCTTGGTGGTGCTGAAGCAGCCCAGAGAGCCCAGGCTACCTGTCTACCCTTCAGGCCATGACACCACAGCCAGTGGTCTCTCCTGGGTCCTGTACAACCTGGCGAGGCACCCAGAGTACCAGGAGCACTGCTGGCAGGAGATGCGGGAGCTCTTGAGGGACCGTGAGCCTGAGGAGACTGAATTGTGAGTCAGGTGCTGGTGTGCTTCTGAGCCTCTTTCTCTAGAGAAAAGAAAAGATGGAGAGGAAAAGAGAGAAGAAGAGGTCTGCATTCAGATGGATGAAGGAGAGAGGCTTTGAGAAATGGAGGTAAAAGAGGAAATGAGGAAATGGGAGACAGGAAGAAGGTGTGTGTGTGTGTGTGTGTGTGTGTGTGTGTGTGTGTGTGAGATGAATGAAAATGGCAACAACTGAGGCCAGTATCATAAGACTGGGGAAGCCATGTTAGTGACTTTGATTTTAACCTGGAGATAGTAAGCAGCCAGGGGAAGGGTTAGAGCAGAAGAGAGGCAGGTCAGCTCTGAGTAACAGGAAGGTAGGATTCTTCCAAGCTTCCCTCTTCTTAATCTTTCCTTCTCAGATTTACCTAACTGTACAGTTCTTTAATCTTCCAGAAAAATGTTAGCTTAGTTTCGTGGAGTTTCTTTAAAGACCAGTTGAGCTGGGTATGTTTAGTCCCACCTAGTTGGGATCCTTTGAGGAAGGAGTTGGAGATAAGTTTGGGCAGCAGAGCAAGACCCTGTCATCTCAAAACAGAAAACAGAGCCGGAGAAATGGCTCCCTGCGTAGGTGTGTGCTCACTGCTCTTGCCGAGGACCCGGAAGCTGGGCTGAGTTGCTCACAGTTGCCTGTACCTCTAGCTTGAGACGATCCGATGCCACCAGTCTCCTTGGGCACTTGCTTGCTAATGTGTGAGCAGGTGTTCAAGTCAGCACACACACACACACACACACACACACACACACACACACACACAATTTAAACTCTTAAAACAAACAAACAAAAAGGCACCCATAAAAAAGGGTACATAAACAAGCAAACAGAAGGCTAGTGAGAGGATGGCCTGCAGGAGGAGAGAGCACAGTGCTAGGCCACAGGCTGAGGGGCTGCCAACCTCAGGCTTTGAGCCAGTGGGCTGCATCAGGTCCTAAAAGTTTAAATAACCACAGCACACCAAAAGAAGACAGAGCAAAGATTTCAGTCACATCATTGGTTGCTAAAGATTTTCAGTGGATTCTGCTATCTTTTCTAAACACAACATCACTGTCCAGGACTGTGGGTATGGCTTGGTGGGAGACCATTTGCCTATGTGCAAAGCACTGGCTAGATCCTCAGCAGCACGGAACCAAAGCTAAACAAACAAACAAACAGACCAAACCCCAAAACAACCTTCTGCAACACCTCTGCTAAAACAACATGCTTAGCTTTACATGGCAAACTACAGTTCTTTCTTTTTTTTCTTGGATAATTGCATTTGCTAATGTCTCTAGTACAGTGATGATGAAAAACAAAAGCATTAGATCTATTTCTTTTACTTTCTACTGTTTTGTATTTTGGTTTCTCTCTTTTTTTTTTTTTTTTCAGAAAGAATAACTTTGATGTAAACTTGTTAACTTAAAATCAGTTTTTCTCCCCGCCTTCCTGCGTCTGCAGCCATGCCCTGCTCGGAAGACGCGGCGGCCGCCTCGGTCAGCAAGCGTGCTCGGGCGGAGGATGGCGCTCGGCTGCGCCTCGTGCGGGCTCGGAGCACGCCACGGCGCCCACCCGCGGGTCCGCGCGCGCCGCGGGCTAGGACCTGCACAGTGCTTATGATTATACCACACCACCCATGGAGAAAGCCATTGTGAAAACAGACACTCAGATAGCTGTTCCGTCTGGGTGCTATGGAAGAGTAGCTCCACGATCTGGCTTGGCTGCAAAGCACTTCATAGATGTAGGAGCTGGTGTCATAGATGAAGATTACAGAGGAAATGTTGGTGTTGCGCTGTTTAATTTTGGAAAAGAGAAGTTTGAAGTAAAAAAAGGTGATCGAGTTGTGCAACTCATTTGTGAACGGATTTTTTATCCAGACTTAGAAGAAGTTCAAGCACTGGATGACACCGAAAGGGGCACAGGAGGTTTTGGCTCCACGGGAAGGAATTAAAAGTTTGCTTGAAAATATTTGCTGTTTCAGCGCTGCAAACAGAAGCTTAAATTCTGGCAGTATTTCTTGTCTAGGCTGCAGGAAAGGAGCCCTGTTAGTACCCGTTGGAACTGCTCTGTCTCTGCGGTCGATGGCTGTAAATCTATTGTGAGGATGGCGTTGATATCAGATTTCGCAAAACGAAGTGTACAAGTAGATTTTTTGTTGTTTTATTCCTTAAACTAGAGGCTTCAAGTGATTTTGCTCTCATTGCTGTATCAGTTGTAACTTTTTTATGTAATAAAGTTGAAGTCTTTAGCAGAAAAAAAATCAGTTTTTCTTTTTTTTTTTCAGAAAGAATAATTTAATGCAAACTTGTTAACTTAAAATTATTTTTATTTTAAAATTCTATCTATCTATCTGTCCATCCATCTATCTATCTGTTCATCTAGCTCTCCGTCTATCTATCTGTCTGTCTATCATCCGTGTGTGTGTGCACTGTCTGCAGAGGCCAGAAGAGTGTGTCACAGCCTCTGGAGTTGGAGTTATGGGGCAGTTGTGAGCTGCCTGATGTAGGTGCTGGGAACTGAATTCAGGTTTTCTTAAACACTGAGCCAGCTCTCCTTCCCATCTGTTAACTTTTTATACTCTTGGCATTTAGACACTGCATACTCTCAGGACAGGACTCCAGAGCTACCTGGCTAACCTTTCTTTGGTATTTTCCTAATTCTCTGATTAAAAAGCCTTTTGATTAATTAATAAGTTAATCACTGATAAAGACACAATTAAACTAATTAATTAGTAAGCTAACCAACTGTTAATTAATAATGGCATTTCAGACAGAATGTCATTGTGTGCCATAAGCTGCCCCTGAACTCATAAACCTCCTGTCTCAGCCTTCCCATTGTTAGAATTCTGTTTTTTCTTTTTAAATTACATGCTCTTGGGGATGGAACTGTCTCCAAACTTCCTGGCAGGCACTTTGTCCCCATGAGCCATCTGGTCAGCCTGTTTTCCAATTCTCACATACTTCCTCCATCTCAGGGCAGGAGAACTAGGAGCCGGAGTTCTCTCTTGTGATCTGGTTAACTGTGGGTGGGTTTCCTCAGGGACCACCTGGCCCAGCTGCCCTTCTTGGCCACGTGCATCAAGGAGAGCCTGCGGCCGCATCCTCCGGTCACTGCAATCTCGCACTGCTGCACTCAGGACATTGTGCTTCCAGATGGCCGGGTCCTCCCTGAAGGCGGCGCGGCAGCAGGGAGGAGGGCCAGGGCGGACGGCAGGTCCAGCGTGCAGCGTTTGTCTTGGTCACTTCACTTCCCACGGTGTCATCTGCCGAGTAAGTATCTTCCGGACACATCACATCCAGCTGTGTGGCCGGACCCAGAGGCTGGGGTACTCGAGGGGAAGGACTTTTTGTTTGCTTGGTTTTGGTTTTTGTTTTGGATAAGGTCTCATGTAACGTAGACCTCACTGTGTAGCCAAGGATAACCATAAACTCCTGATTCTCCTGCTTCCCCTCCGGAGAGTTCCACAGGGGTACAGCCATCGGCTTTACGCTGGTGCTGGGTCGGAATCTGGGGCTCCCAACTGCTCCTAGCTGCATCCCAGGAGGCAGAAAAATCAGTTCTTCCCTTGCACCGCACGTGGAGGGCTGCTGCTGTGCCGGCAGATGGCCCTCACACACCATGGCTCCGTGGCTCCTGCAGCTCTATGACCCCTTCCGCTTTGACGCAGACAAGGCCAAGGACAGGTCATCCCTGGCTTTTATTCCCTTCTCGGCTGGGGTCAGGAGTGACTGAACGGGTCTAGGGCTGAAAGTGAGGGCAGGGGGAGTTGGGTGGGTTGGGGTTAGCATTTCCCTTTGCCCCTCTGTACAGAAATTGTGTAAGGGTTTGGGGAAGAGAGAAGGTGAAGAGCCCTTCTCTGTTCTCAGAACCTCTGCCTGGCCCGTTCGGATGTTGGGCCAGGCTCTGAGGATGGTGACGTCCATGCATGGTCCCAGATACCTCAGGCCCGGGCCAGGGTCTAGGACAAAGAGTTCCCTCCCTCAGGAGCTGCACAGGACAAACTTTCACCCTGAGCGAGATGAAGGTGGAGCTGGCGCTGACACTGCTGCGTGCAGGGACCCCACACCTGGCCAGGGACCGCCCCAGCCGCCTGGCATCCTCAGGAATAAAAGTCTTTGTCACCGGCCTCTGAGCCTCTTCACATCAGGGGGGCGCGGGGACCCAGGTTGCGCCCCCCTGGAGCCAGGGGACCATGAAGGAAGGCGTGGAGCAGTAGAGGGAGCGTAATATCGTTGCCTAGGAGGCAAGGTTCTGGGCACCCTGGGAGGATTATCTGGCTAGATCAGCTGAGGCAGAACATCTGTCCTAGGTGTAGGTGGCTTCATTACCCGGACGGCTTCCGGGTTAACTGAAAAGGAAAAGTGAAGCTTCTGAGATGGCTCCGTGGCTAAGGGCTCCCGGCGCCCACCGCTAGGCTCGCAAAGGTCTGTAACGCCAGCTCCAGAGGTCCCACGTCCTCTTCTGATTGCTGCAGTCAGCAGACACGCATGTAGTGCACGCGAAACACCCGTGCACTTGAAATAAAATAAACCCTAAACAAGCGGAAAGGAGAAAGGCTTCGCACCAACGTTCCTCTCTGCTGCTTGATGCTGAGTGCCGTGTGGCCAGCTACTCCTGTGCCTTTCCCACCGTGTTGTCTGTGACCTTACAGTGAGATGCAGAATCAGCTCTCCCCATCGTCACTACTCCATTGCTGTGAAGAGGTACCGTGACCAAGGCAATGTAGAGATTGTGGGCTCGCAGTTCTGGAGCGAGCCTGTGAGTGTCGCGCCGGGGCGTGGCGGCAGGCAGGCTGGGGCAGTGGCTGAGAGCTGGCTTCTCATCCTCCTCAAGCACTGGGAGCAGCCTGGGCTTTTAAAACTTCAACCCCCTCCCCCCCCCATACACACACCCAGTGACACACCTCTGGAAGGGAGGTTTTGGTTTCTTTGTAAACTCAGTTATATTATGTAAATTGTTGTTTTAATCCCAAGTGTGGGATTTTAGTTAAGCTTTAATTTGTCCACAGCTGATAGCTGTCTTGTGGCCTTTGACAGCTGGTAATGGCCTGCGCATGCAGCATGGAGAGGGGCGTGGTTTAGGGCCCTGAAGATATAAGTACCAGAGTCCAGAGAGGGAGAGAAAGTGTGTGGAGTGGCAGTGGGGAGAGATCAGAGAGGGACAGTGTGGCGTTGTGGAGCAGAGGGACAGAGGGAAACACATGGGGCAGGAGGAGCAGCGGCTTAGAGGAGCCTGCTGGCTGCATCTGCTGTTGACAGATTGGTACAGCCCTACAAGAACCCACCAACCCTAACAGCTAGGAGAAGTCAAGGGTCTGAGCCCCACTCCCCACTAACCTTCCCTCTCCTACATAGGGTTGAGGCGTTGGAAGGGAGAGACTTTAAGGAACCCCAATAAAATAGAGTTTAAAAACCAGCGCTACAGGTGGCACCCAAAGTGACTGGTAAGGTAAAAGAGCTGTACGTAACACCTAGACGTGGCTTAGGAATAATGGGGAGCCTGGCAGTTTATGAAGGAACGGATGTGCTGTTTCAAGATGGCAGCGAAGGGCTTATAGCAGCTGCTGTGGGTTCTCTCCCAAGTTGCTCCTAGAGGGGATTTTCTGGTTTTGCTTTGTCTTCTTTCTATATTTCATTGTAAAAAAAAAAAAAAGATTAGAAGAATGCCTGAACAGTTACAAACACCGGAAGTGTTTCTCAATTCTCCTGTTTTGGAAAGGATTGCAGAGTTGGTAGTACAACAAGATAGTTTTTGAGTAGAAATGGAAGAACTTGAGAAGCAAACAGTGCTGCTGATAAACAGGAAAAAAAGAAAGTGCTGCCCTGCCCTGCTCCATGAGCCGGGTGTTCAGAGCACCTGTGTGCTGCAGGGTGGGGAAGAACAGGAAGCCATACAGGCCAGGAGGGCTCTGGAATAAGCTCAGCGCCAGAGGAGTTGCCTAGGGGCATGGGCACCATCAGCTTCCCCAGTGTTTGTGCCACATATGCCTGCCACTGCTGGTGGGGAGGCTCCTGACGAGAGGACATGGCGTCCAATAGACAGGCTAGATCTAAAGAGTCTGCTGTATGGTATGGAATCCATTCATCTTTTATTAAACAAATGCTAAGTAACAGGGTTACTAAAAAAATAGACTTATTTCCCAAGATTGAAGGGATTGGTGTCAGCTGTGCTAGAAGTTAGTCAACAGCTGCTGTGGTTATGGTGCAGGAACACAAAAATGAAACAACAAAATATAACAAGGGGAATAAATGTTGTTAAAGATCAATTGCTCAGTGAAGGGCATTATGCTGACTTATGGGAACAAATCTGATCTGATGCAGTAACTGTAGAAACACAATTGCCTTAAGAGCTTAGGTTAAGAAGCTTGGTAAAACATTCACTTCGTTTACTAGGGTAATCCAGGGCCCTGCAGAAGCCTTTACCGATTTCCTACAGAGACTGGGTTCAGCTCTAAATAGAGACTGAGACCAGACAGGCGTTGATAGCAATCTTGGCGTATGAGAATGAAAATATTGAAATAAGAAAGCACTTAGACCATTCATTAAAAGCATGAGCAGCCCCAATAGATGAATGGATAAGAGAGATAACTGATGTTGGCTCTCAGGAGCATCATGTCAATATCATAGGACAAGCCGTAGCTAGAAACATCAGAAATCAAAATTCCTAGTGATTTAATTGTGGTGAATTTCTCCATTTCCAAAGAAACTGTAAGGTTCAACGTGTTAGAGCACAAAATAGAAGGTGTGTTAACTCTGAGGAATACGGTACATTTACAAGCAGGTTCTGGCCGAACTGGAATGCCCAGATTCTCCAAAAATTGTAGACATTGTAAGAAAGGAAAGCATGGGAGTAACAAGTGTATATCTAAATGGGATTTAAAAGGCAACCTCTTGGCACCATTAAACAAACGAAGGGGCCTGTCAGCTTGAGGCTTTGAAGCAAAAAATATGAGCCATTTTCCTTTGGTCAGCCAGGAGGTGACAAGCAGGCAGGAAGAGCAAAACTAAAGATTGGTGATCTCACACATGCAACAAAGGCACCACTGCCTTGGATCTGGCCGCAAATAAATCTCTTACTCTATCCCTCAAAGTTAAATATTACAAAATAACCACTGTGGTTATGGTCCTTTGCCTTCAGGGACAGTAGGGATGACCTTAGGAAGAAGTGGCTTTACTTCTCAAGGATTTATTGTACATCCAGGTATTCTAGATGGGGATGGCAAGGAAGAAATCATGGCCTATTTAAAAGGAGATGCAAATTAACATAGGGGATAGAATTGCTCAGCTGTTACTGTTGCCCTACATCAAGGGCAAAGCCGCTCTGGTACAACGAACAGGCTCATTTGAGAGTACTGGAAAACCTGTGTTCTGGCAGACAGTGGTTAATGATCAGAGACCCAAATTAATAGTACAAATGAATTGTGTTGAAATACGAGGTTTGGTAGATACAGGAGATGACATCAGTATCCTCTCCCAAAAGTCTTGGAATCCAAAATGGCCACTTCAGAAGGTTTATACACAGTTTATAGGAATTGGTAAATTATCTCAAGTAAGACAAGGTGTATGGTGAATTAAATGTGTGGGACCAGAAGGACAAATAGGGAAGCTGAGACCCTATGTGGCTGACATACCCATAAATTTATGGGGAAGGGATCTTTTACAACAATGGGGCACTCAAATATTCCCACGATCCCAGAGATAGCCAATGACGAAATTAGGGGTGAAATGGTAGATGTTCCTGGTTTCAACATGTGAAATCAAGAACAATCACAAGCTGTGTCCACTGGCCAAACAGAACATCTCTGGGACTGAGTTTCCAAATTTATAAGAGGGGCCGTTGCTGAAATACCAACAGCCTTGCCCTTAAAGTGGCTATCAAATAGACCTGGGTGGCAAGAGCAGTGGCCCATAACAAAAGAAAAACTGCAGGCACTTCAACAACTGGTACAGGAGCAGCTGGAGGCTCAACATATAGTAGAGTCTACCAGCCCATGGAATTCCCGTGTTTGTCATAAAAAAAAGAAATCGGGAAAATGGAGGATGACAACGGACTTAAGAGCAGTGAATAGTCATTCAACCAATGGGTTTTTAGAACCTGGAATTCCTTTACCTTCTTTGTTACCTAGAGCTTGGCCTATAATAATAATTGATTTAAAGGATTGATTTTTTTCACAATATCCTTGCATGAGTAGGACAGGCAAAGGTTTGCTTTCTCAGTACCTACTTTTAATAATAGTGGTCCAATAAAAAGATACCACTGGAGGGGCTTCCACAGGGAATGCTAAATAGTTCAACTTTATGTCAATATTTTGTGCAACAACCACTAGAAATAATTCATAAGCAATTTCCTCAATCTATCATTTATCATTACAAGGATGGTATTTTGTTGGCTGATTCTGATGAAGATACTTTAGAGAAAATGTTTAAGGACACACAAAGAATTCTGCCATGCTGAGGATTATAGATTGATTCAGGAAAATACAGAGAGGAGATTCTATTGGCTATCTGGGTTATAAAATAAATCAACAAGAAAGTCAATCACACACAAAAAAATTCAGTCACAAAAGGTACAGATCCATAGGAACCAACTGTGAACTCTTAACGATTTAAAAAATTGTTAAATAATAATGGGAGATATTAACTGCCTGAGGCCTATAATTGGATTAAGTACTTATGAGTTAAGTAATTTGTTTCAGACATTACAAGTAGAGTCAGATTTAAAGACCTCCAAATGTCTAACAGATGAAGCAGAAAAAGAGTTGATTCTAGCAGCATAAAGACTGAAAGATGCTTTTATTCATTGATTCTAATTGATCCTAAATTTGATAGCATTTTGGTCGTTTTGCCTTCAACTAATTCTCCTACGGGGCTCGTTATGCGAAGAAAAGGTAGCATTATGTGATATATTTTCTTAGCACATAAAGGAGAAAATTAAAGATGTACCTAGAAAAGATTTCTGAATTAATTATAAAAGGTTAAAGAAGACTACATCAATTGTCAGGAATGGACCTGGCTGCAATTATAGTGCCTCTTACTAATACTGAGATTATGTCATTGTGGGTAATCAATGAAGACTGGCAAAGAGCTTGTAGTAACTACTTGGGAGAAATTAATAACAAATATTCCTAAAGCAAATGTATACAATTTATAAAAAGAACTAGTTGGATTCTTACACTATTGTAAAGGGAACACCAATCCCAGAGGCACCAACATTCTATACCAATGCAAACAAGGTGGGACTGGCAGGTTATAAATCAGACAAAATAAGCAAGGTGATTAAAAGCCCACATTCTTCAGTTCAGAAATCAGAATTATATGCGATCCTTATGGTATTATTAGATTTTCCTGAAACTCTTAGTATAATTACTCACTCTCAATATGCAGAAAGAGTTGTTTTTTATACAGAAACCTGCTGAAGTGATTTCTGATAACTCAGAATTGACTTTGTTATTTATGCAATTGCAACAGGCCATCAGAAGTAGAAACTATCTATTATTATATATTACTCATATTCAATCTCATACAGGTTTGCTAGGTCTATTGGCATGAGGAAATGAACCAATTATAACCAATGAACACATAATAGGAAATGTGTTAGAAGCCTTGAATTTCATTAAAAACACCACGTTAACAATAAAGTTTAAAGAAAAATGTTTCTATCACTTGGCAACAAGCCAAAGGGGGAGGAGAGGAAGGTGTTCTCAGTATGTGTTCTCAGTATAACCAACCCAACTCCACTACCAGCTGGGAGGAACCCTAGGGTACCTAAAGAAACGAAACCCGGCAGATGGGTCTGTTTCATTTTGCAGAATTTGGAAAGCAGTATGCACAGCACACCATAGGTCCATATTCAGGGTTCCAATGGGCAACTGCTTTAAGTTTTGAAAAGGCTGATTCTGTAATTACACATTGTTGGAAAGAATGGCAATTATGCAGCTACCTGCACAAATTAGGATTGATAATGCCCCTGTGTATGTGTCCAGTAAGGTGAAGCAATTCTTTGCATATTATAAAATAAGGCACATTACTGATTTTATACACACACACACACACACACACACACACACACACACACACACACATACACCACACAGTCACACAGGCACACAGGACAGGCAGTTGCAGAAAGAGCCTTTCAGACTTGAAAAGAGATGCTCATTAAACAAAAAGGGAGAGTAAAGACCCCAAGGGACAGGCTAAATAATGCTTTGTTAACTCTAAATTTTCTTAATGCTGGTGAAAAGGGAACAACAGCAGCTGAGAGGCACTGGGTTAAAGAAAAAAATGTAGAACTAGAACAACCCATTTATTATGAGGACATGTGACAGCAGAATGGAAACCTGAAATGGTTTTGAGGTGGGGGTGTGGTTATGTATCTACAGGGAGTGAAAAAATATGGTTACCAACAAAACTTATAAAGATTAGATTTGACCAGGGAAACTAGCTGAGACATGAATGTATTTGCATGATAAATGAATCTTATTGACTACCTGGTCCTCATGATGCAGAAAGGTACCTACAATATTACCTTTAAAATTTGTTTATTTTCAGAGCAAAAGACCAGATAATAATGAAGACAAAGCAAGTAGCCCAGGTGATTCAGCCTCACAGAATGCCTCAGTTATAGTTTCCTCTACACCCAGCTCAACTTCAAAAGGGCTAGTCCAAATGATCAATCCCACAGAGACTGGACAGAAAACATGCAGACTAGACAAAAAATACAGAGACTAGACAGAAAACCGAGACTGGATAGAAAAAGATACAGCTAGCTTTTCCAGTGCTTGGCCAATATCCTACTTTTTAAGGGTACCCAAAAAGATGTTTTTACCCCAAGACAGTAAGAAGTAATTTAAGAACCAACACCCCTATTCCTAAGAAGTGGGGTGCATGTTTTTAGCCATTTGGTGAATTATGGATTGGTCCTGGTAAGGGAGGAAACAAAGTTAGAATCGGGGATCTCTTTCTTTTTCCCCTCTATCCTTTTTCTCTTACCTTTCTCTCTTGGATAATGTTAGGGGAAAGGAAGGAAAATGATAAAAGAAAAAGGGGGATATAGGATTATAGAATAAAAGATTGAGTCTACTAGTCTCAAATATCATAACTTGATATGGATTGTTGTAAATTGTTAGCAGTTTAATATCTTGTTCAACTTAACGTATTGTACATAGGCAACTTATTTGGAAAATGTGACAGAAAGTTCTAGTCTTTCTTATGAACGCTAACCATTGCATCTGTTCAGGATGATTGGAGATGTAATTAGTACTTAGTCACCTATAAAGAATCTTCATTGTAGTCTTGTTAGATACTAGTTTAGTTAATTACAGAAATAAGCTTTACTTAGTCTCTTGTATGTGTTTTCAAGGTTAAGCAGATAGTACATAGCTAAAACAAGCAATGCTGACAGATAAATAGACAAATGATAGCTATAATTGCACACTATATAATGGTAGATAAATATGGGGTCTTCAATCATTTCAGAGATGTATAGATTATGGCATTTAAAGATATTTTAATAATAAAAGGCTTTTCTGACAGAGACATCTCCGGGCAGCACCTCTGATCTATTTCAAAGAAGAAGATAGGCATCACAGGAACAAATGTGGCAAGATAGTCCCTGGAGAAAAAACTGTCCTTCAACTGCTGATAGCAGGCTGTCTGAGCAAACTGTGAACAAGCAGGACACTGGAAAACTGACTGTCCAAGTTTGCAGAGAATGTATGGTTGTCCTTCAAAATTCCTCCTTCACAGAAAAGCCTGTCATACATTCTGGGCTGGTAGGCCGAAGACTAGTCACACGGAAACCTCTGCTGACTGTCTAGGAAGTCGGCTGTCTCTGTCATTTCTATAGTTCTGGAAGCTGCTTGCTCTATGCTTCCTGTATATTTAGGTAATATCTCCTTCTAAGGTCTCTGATGGGGTTGAAGACTAGACAGTCATATTCTTACTACAATTAAGTGTAATTGTTTAGGTACTAAGACAATGCTTTATGCTACACTGACTCCAGAAAGTCTGTATAGCATAAACATGTGTTATGAAAGCATAAAATTATGCAAACAGATAAGAAGACACGTTTCCTATGGGAATCAGCTTCCTGAAAGTCCCTAGCAAGAACCCTAACATGGCTATCTAAGCCAAAAGACGTATTCTAAGTCCCACACTTATTTGGTTACAAGACTGGAATTGATGAGCTCCTTTTTTGCTGTTCCTCTGTGATTCTTGAAACAGTACAATTAACTATTCAAGGAAACATTTCTAATAGATCACTAAAAGCTTTAGCAAATAAGAGTAGAAGGAAAATAAAATTTTAGGAGAGGTAATAAATCAGATTCAGCATCAGGAATTGCTTGTGGAAAAACCAAACATTGTAGGTAGTAAAAGGACAAGAGTTTTAGGGCTTTCTAAAGAAAATGTTTAATCAGGATCTGTTAGGATAAATGCTCTGGATATTCCCACTGCAGTAAGGCTACTACAAAACCATTACCTAACACAGGTATTTATGATGAGGCAGAAAGAAGATAGGCAAACATAGAAGGTCAAAAAGTTTTGTATTATACTAAAAGTTTTACGGACAGGCTAGTTCAAGCATCTTATCTAAGGAAAGATTGTAAATCTTTAGCCAACCTAGTTCGGAGGATTATTAACAACCCCTAATTAACTAACAATAAACTACGTAAACACACCACAAGTTTTACAAGCCCCTGGCCCTCTACTCGCTAAATTGACAAACAAGTCACTAGTTTTGTTTGCTCTGCTTAAGAGGCTGTTAGGTCAAGATTTTTTGTAGACACTGCTTCTACCAGGTTACTCTTTCAGTTAAAATATAAACTTTGTAAATGTTCCGGGGGGTATGTCAACTTTCAGGTGCTTCTTTGTAAAATTACTATAAAAGTGTTGGCTTGACTTCAGTAAAAAGCAGAAGATCCAAACCAATACCACCTGGTGTGGGTCTGACTGTCATTTCGCCTATCTGTGCCTTCCTGATATCTGAATTCCCTGATTCTCCCTCGGACTCGGGGCACCCGAAGGGGCCGGTCCGAGGCAGCTTTAGGCCTAAAAGGATGTTTTAAGGTCTAGATAGATGTTTTTAGGTTGATAGATACAAAATACGATAAGAAAGTGATTTAGGTACAGAATTTAGGACTCACCAGGATAGAAGAGATAATGGAATACTTTTTCTAAGGATGCAAAATATGAACGAATGGACATTGTAAATGTAATTCTTACCTGATAATTCTCATAATTATTCTTACTATATATAATTTATTAATGTTAGAAAAAAGCAGTTTTTTAAACAAAAAGGGAAATATGTAACAGCAGTTTTGGTTTTTTTGTAAAATCAGTTCTGTTTCTTTCTCTCCTTCTGATAGACTCACTCTGGTCTTGTGTCAGGGCTTTCCCACTTGCTGTTCCCCATTCACGGTGTGTGGCACTCCCGTCTCTGAGACAGGGTTTGGAATATCCCACTAGCCTGGTCTCATGCTACAGCCTAGGACGGACACTGACGTCCTGACCTCCCTGTCTCAACCTCCGGAGGGCTGATTGAAAAGTCTGCTTTACCATGTCCTGTTTATGCAGTGCTGGGAATTGAACCCAGGGCATTTTGCATGGTAGGTGAGCACTCTACCAAATGATCCCTAGCCCAAGTCACCAAAATCCATTTTTCTCACTCCATTTGGTGCTCAGCAGATGTATGTTTCCTACTTTGTCTCCTTTAACCACGACACAAGCTCCATGACACAGGGGCCTGCCTGTTTCCTTCATTCTTGTTCTGTTCCCAGCTGTAGCCAGATCTACAACCTGCCCACAGCTGGCCCTCCAACCATGACTTGCTGTGGGGTAGCCTCCCCATGCCCACTGTCTGGGCTGCTCTGTCTTGGACCTAGAAGCTGCTTTTACAGGGAGTAGTCAATAGAGATGGACAGCTGGCCAGAGTGCGGAGGCTAGGACCGAAGGCTCCCCCCAAACAGCACGTCAGTAGTCAGACATCCACCCGCGAGGCCCAGGGCCCATCTCAGAACAGGATACAGAAAGAATGCAAGAGTGGAGAAGAGAGCTGTGAAATGCCATATTCTGGACAGGCCCTGGCCATCGTGATCATTATTCACAGCAGCTGTTTTCACCTGCACAAGACTAAGCCAGTCAAAATCCCAACAGACATGTGAGTGGCAGTCTTCAGGTCCCACTCCTCGCTGAGGAGCTACTGGAAGGGACAATTGTTCTTTCTTGAGGATGTGGCCACTGGCAGGTTCCTCATGACCGAGTGGATGTCCTCACGCCCGTGAACATGTGGCTCTCCACTGACTGGAGTTGGTGGGTTATTTACAAAGAAAGGAAAGAATGAAGTTGGAAGGGGAGGGGTTACAGGAATATGGCGGGATCGGAAGGGAGGGAATGGGAAAGAAGTAGATGCCATCACTTCATGTATGAAAGTCTCAAAATAAGCTTTTAAAAAGTAGATGTCACCATGCTGTCAGGGAGACTGAGCTGTGTCGGGAGAACGAAACCTCCCCGGCTCACGACTTAACACTTGACTCAGGAGCTGTTGTGTCAGTCTCGCTACAGCTTCTGGGAATCCAGCCAGTGCGATTCCAACACTGACCACTAGAGGGCCGGTAAATCGAGCCCTAAATGTGGTACTTCATTGCATATGAACATATCTTCTTTTGCTTATTTTTCTTATTAGCTGTTTGATTTTTTTTGCATGTGTCTGTGTATTGTGTGTATGTATGTTTCTGAGTGTGTATTTGTGTCTCTCTGCGTGTGTGTCTGTATGTCTGTGTGTGTGCGTGTGTATGGCCTCCATTGCATGTGTGGAGGTTAGAGGACAGCTTTCTGTATCAGTTCTTGTCTTTCTTTCTTTCCATGTCTCTATCTATCTATTTTGTTCGTTTTTTGAGACTGAGTTTCTCTGTGTAGCCTTGGCTGTCCAACTTGCTTTGTAGACCAGGCTGGCCTCAAACTTAGAACGATCTGCCTGCCCCTGACTCCCAAGTGCTGGGATTACAGGTGTGTGCCACCACGCCCGGCTTCAGTTCTTTCATTTTGTGGGTTCGGTATTAAATTCTTGGCGGCAAGCACCTTTAGCATCTTGCTGGCTCCTGAATGCTCTTGAATCAAGTTGTCTTCAGCACTCGGGAGGCAAAGGCAGATGGATCTCTGAGTCTGAGGCCAGCCTGGTCTACAGAGTGAGTTCCAGAACAGTCAGGGCTGCACAGAGAAACCCTGCCTCGAAAAACCAAAACAAAACAAAGTTGTCTCCTTCTTGGGTTCTAGCTCTTTGTCCTTCACAAGGTACCTTCCACTAGTGCAGAAGAAAGCCTTGGCCCAGGTCAGGAAGTGAAGACAAAGGAGAACCTTAGGCTTTTCTGGAAACACCAAAACATGCTGCTGTGTCTTACTCCACCTTTAAAGATGAGGCACGAGGTACAAGAGGACTTTATTCAGCAGAAGGAAGGTGAAAGGAATAGTGTCTTAGTGTTTTATTGCTGTGAAGAGACACCACGACCACAGCAACTCTAATAAAGAGAAACATTTAATTGGGGCTGGCTCACAGTTTCAGAGGTTTAGTCCATTATCAAGGCGGGAAGCATGGTATTGTGCAGGCAGACATGGTGCTGGAGAAGGAGCCAAGAGTTCTACATCTTGATCCCCAGGCAGCAGGAGATTGCAAAGCTTGAGTGTAGGAGACCTCAAGCCCGCCCCACAGTGACACACCTCCTCCAACAAGCCACACCTCCCTAATCACTCAAACAAATGAGTCTGTGGGGCCATTCCTCATTCCAACACCCCAGGTGGAGAAGCCTTCCACCACATCATCTCTCTGGTTGAGCCAGTGACGCAGGGACTGTCGGAGGCTCAACATGACCCGATTTCACACTGGGAGAGTGTTCCCACAACTGGAGGCAGAGGAATGGTAAGGGGTGGGGAGAGAGAAAATGTCTGGGAAGGCGAAGGGCCCGCTTCCTTCCCGGTGGGCTTCAGAGATCTCCCAGCAGCAGGGGCCACAAAAGTCCCCCACCGATGGCTTCTTGAGAAGTTTTCAATTTTTTTTTAGTGTACATTTAATTATTTGTGCGAATGGAGGTCAGAGGACAGCTTTGTGTAGTGTGTTCCCCCACTTTGCAGGTCCAGGGATGGAATGTGAGTGCTCTTAACCACTGAGACATCTTTCCAGCCTTGTGAGAAAGAAAGAAGAGGGAAAGATGCTCCAGGAACTGAGCTGAAGTGCTGCCATGGTTCTGTGCTCCAAGCAGTGACATGAACAGCTGCCCTCCCTCCCCCTCGCCAGTTCCTTTCCAGCGCTCTGCCTGTCAGCAGCTGTGCTTTGAAGGCGTGGACCCCAGACCCCCCACATCCACACCCCAGCCTGAGGCACAAACTCCAAGTCTAACTAGATCATGAGATGTGAGCTGCCTGATTAGACTGTTTAGTATCAGTTCATGCCAGGGATCCCCTTTTCTGTGCGCAAACAAAGCAAAGGTAGCTTCTTACATTTCCCAGTTATGTTCCATTAGGAACAGATTACAAACGATTGTAATCTGCAGAGCCAGAATTAGATGTCTGTGGCCATTCCTGACCTTTGCTGGACGCTGAGAATCTGAATTCAGGTCCTAATGCTCACACCGCACACTCCCCACCCACAAGACCATCTTCCCTCTCTCACACATTTCTATTATAATACATAAATTTACAAAATAACTAATGAAAGACGAAAGGAACCAAAATAAAAAACTCCATGAAAATAGTCAACTTACATGGACATGAGTAACAAAGGAAAATCACACTTCCAGCACCACTGGAGAACCCACAGGAGCCGGGGCTCTTCTACCACATAGGTCCTGGGAAATGGGTCTTCACGCTTGGCAGCAAATGCATTTACTTTACCAAACCCAACCACTAATTTAGAATCTCTAAGCAGTCAGACGCTAACCCAGTAAATCATGACTTCTCAGGTTTTAAATATGGCCTATCTAACGCTGACTTAATAGCTAAAAGGTCTTTTTTTGTTCAAAGTAATTTCCCCTCCTCTGGTGGGCCTGGAACAGCAAGAGCTGGTACTTTGTACTTAATTATTTATTCCCTGCGGTCTGCCTGACCCCAAATTGATGTTTGTAACCTTGAAATTATCCCTAATTGGCTGAATAAAAGGCCTGCTCCTGGGCAGGGCAGAAATGAGGAGCAGAGCTAAGGCTCATGGGTTAGGGGGATGGAAGAATCAGAGGAGAAAGGAGGAACAGAGTTGCCATGGGATAGAAAAAGAACCTTGTGGGCCAGGAGGAGGAACTCTGAAGTTCTGCTTGAAGTAGCTGAGATGAAAACCATAAGTATTCATGGACTCATGGATGGGAGGCAGCCCAGACAGAAATGATTAAGGCAGATGGCATCAGATGGGGGCTGGGAGGTAATGAGACAGCTTAGGTGAAAAAATCTGCCCAGCCCCAGGGAAAATAAGGCTTATTCTAAAATACAACAGATGTCTGTGTCATTTATTGATTAGGATAGCAGGTTAGATAATACCAATGTGGTAATTATAGGCATTTAGTAATAAACATTAGCCCATTTATATTTTCTCCAACAGGGCCCCTTTCCAGGACCCTCTGGAATGGTTTTATGTCCGAAGAATATCCCAATGATTGGGGCCAAGGAATGCTGCAAAATCACATCAAGTAACAGACTTGGAGATTTATCAGCAAGTTGGGGACACGAGGCCACCTCTGAGCAAGGATGGAAGGGAGTGCTGGGGCAACTAAACTACAGAATGACTCCCCAGGGAAAGTCTCAATTTTCAAAGCAACATCCACAGCAAACAGCTCCACATGGCAGCAGTGCTGGAGCGGAGACATTACAGCTAAGTGAACACATTCCCCCCAAATGGCTGCCAACGGCACTTGAGTGAGCGCCCACTTCTGGTGCCCAGCACCTGTGTCTGGTGGCACACAGTACCTACTAAGTTCAGCTCGAGGAAACCCAATGCCCCCTTCTAGGCACCTGAACTCACATGTGCGCCTTCTCCATTATAACAAACTGGTACTATTTTAGTATGAATGACTGAATAAACTTTGTGCTGGAAAAAAAAATCACTTTTATTAGAAAATAAATGTGGAATATATAAAACAAATGATGGGGACAATTTACGAAGTCAGCTTTTATTGATACACTAACCACAGAATTAAATTATACTGATTAATGTACGTATTCTGAACTATATTTTTACACTCATTACCGTGTGCACATTCGCCATGACTTGTGTGGAGGTCAGAAGGCAGTTGGTAGAGAAGATGGTCCTCTGCACCTTTTCTAGGACTTGAATTTAAGCTATCAGAGTTGGAAGCACCTTAATCCAGAGTCCTTGAACTATGTCTCAATTTACTTGTAGGATTTAACTTTGTTAAGATGAAATAAAATTTTGCTGACATGAAAAAATAAAACCACTCCCATTATACCCACACATGGCCCAGGGATCTTGGGAAATGGCTAAGGCCCACTGGAGAAGGAAACAGGAAGGTTTAGATGCAACTTGGGAGTTACAGCATGACTCACCCTGCCCCCAAGAAGCATTAAAAACACTCAGGGATGACTGCTTAAAACCTGCAAAGGGGATAGGAAGATGTTAAGAGCTGTGGGCTGGGAATAGAGTGTGCCCCCTGCATTCATCGGCTCACTGAAGCTACAGTTACCTGCATCAGGTAATGGGTTATAAAAGAAGGGGTGGGGAACGAACATGAAGGTGGAAAGGGGCATGTTGAAGAATGTCAGGGGTGACTTGGAATAGACATACTCAAGATAGTAGGCATATCTTTGAAATTATAAAAGAACAAGACACCTAAAAACAAAACTAAACCCAAAAATACTAATGGAATTAGGACCAAGATTTGTAAATTCATAGTTTACTGACAGATCTGGCAGTGAGTTGCTGAGACCACAGACCACTATCAGATGTTTGCCACTGTGGCTTCCAGGCAGCACTGCAATCAGTGTGGGAGCTACTCCTGTGCAGCTTTGCTGGCGGGCTCTGGCAGGAGGCGCCCCCACAGGGACCTGAAATACAGGGGTGGCAGTGAAGGACACTGAGGTGTTGGTGAGCTCGGACCAGAAACTAAAGGCTCAGTGAGTAGAATTCGAGAGTAAGGTGTTGGTGAGCTCGGACCAGAAACTAAAGGCTCAGTGAGTAGAATTCGAGAGTAAGCCTGGGACAAGGCAATAGCCGCACACTTTTTGTACGGACTTTAATTAGAGACAGTCTGAATTCGCGACATGTTACAGAAAAAGCAAAACTTAAGAGTTAGAGAGGAAAAAGGCTTTGGGAAAAAATGAGACTAAACCATCGGCTCCTCCTGAAGAGTTCCATGGCTCTCCTGATGACAATAATTCCAATTTAGGAAAAGACTTTGATGATGACTTAGATCCTGATGAGGTTGCAGAGTTGGAGGAAGAAGCAGCAAAATATCATTCTGAGAAATATCCTCCAATTCAGGCTATGAGTGGTAAAAAACCTTAAGCCTTGGCAAAAAGAAATAAAGTTGGAAGGGAGCTTGGAGGAAATAAACAGAAAATTTGGAAAATTAACTACTAGGGAAAATGAGGCTCAATGCCCCACTCCAACTCCCTCATTGATTGCAGGCTTAGACCCCCCCCCTTCCGGGGCAGCTACAGTTGCTACAGCTCAAAAAAGGGAGCCTTTTTATCTACTGCACAAACAACTGTATCCTCTTTACAAGTTCCTTACAAGCTAGGCAGAAAGGAGAGGATATAACTGAGTTTTACCGTTTTCCTGTCCTAAAGCAACCTGATGGACAGAGTAATATGGTGAGAGTTAATGCTCCTATACCTTTTAAACAATTAAAAACTGCATGTGCCCAAAATGGTCCTACAGCACCCTTTACTCAAGTCCTTATCTGCTGAGGCCCTCTGCCCAGGGAACTGGAAGCAATTGGCAAGAGCATGTTTATCTGGAGGAGATAATATATTATGGAAGTTTGAATTTGCTGAGCAGTGTCAAACTACAGGTAAAATCAACTGAGCTAAAGGAGGTCCTAAAACGTAGAACATGCTTGCTGGAGAAGTTATCTACAGAGAAACTGAGCAGCTGGATTTTGATGCTCAGCATTTTGAGCATTTATGCTCAAGTAAATGCTGCTGCCAGAAGGGCCTGGAATGAACTTCCGCAAACAGGTAGACAGGTGGAGGATTTGTCTAAAATCTGTCAGGGACCTGATGAATTAGTTCAAGACTTTGTAGATTCATGCAAACAGCAAGCATACTTATAGGTGATGAAGACTCTGGATTATTATTAATAAAACAATTGGCCTATGAAAATGCTAGCAGTGCTTGCCAAGCAGTTTTGAGACTCTTTAGGAAGAAAGGAAATATTTCTGACTGTATTATGTCATGTTCCGACATTGGGCCATCTTATACTCAAGGAGTGGCCATGGCTGCTGCCCTACGAGGTAAGCCTATTAAAGAGGTATTATTTCAGTGAAAGGCTCAAAGAATAGAGTATTGGGACCTCCAGGAAGTGGTTATGACAAATGGGAAATTTGCCATAGAAAAAGAATTGTCCTAATGCTAGTAAGAAGGGAATCAAAAGGAACCTGGTCTATGCCCAATATGTAAGAGGAAAGCATTGAGCTAATGAATGTAGGTCTAAAAAGATGCTGCAGGAGACCCTTTAATGAAGGGAAATGGAAAGAGGGGCCAGCCCCAGGCACCACAACAATGTCATGGGGTGCTACAGAACTTCATCCCTCAGCAAGGAAACCCATTCAGGACCTCTTTTAATGTCACTTTTATGAACTGTTACAGGACTTGGCTCGTTACTCTTATTTGGCCTTCTGGAATGTTAAAGCTGATCTGCATAAGATTAAACTCCAGCATCTACCCTAGCAGTGGCTGGTAAATACAAAGATCTCACGGAGTAAGATCTCACTGAGGAATATTCAACCTAAGAGAGGGTATGAATGATAGAATTTATGTACCAGTACAAGTAAGAATGTATCTTTCAAGAGTGGCAAGCACAATCTTCTGCTCCATAGCTCTTAAGCTATGGTCTTTCCTAGAAAATAAAAATAAAAGGGGGGGGGGGGCGCCTGTGGTAAGCTGCTTGTTTGGCAAGCTGCTATTTTCAGTGAAAAACATGTTTTCACCCTGGAACAGAGATAAGCAAGGTGTTTTGCCAAGTTCCTTTAACTTGTTCTGTGACCTTGGACCATATCTGCTACAGGGATTAGGGTTTAAGAAGTTTGACTGCTCCATGAACCCCTTCCTTGTGTTGATGTGACCTGTTTTGCTTTGCCTATAAAAAGGAGCTGCTAAGTAAACCCGGGGCTGCAGTATTCACTGACAGTCCTTCTCAAGCTGATCTTGTGTCTTGCTTTCTTTCTTTCAATACTCACTCCCCATTCAGGTACTGTTCGAATTTACTGGCAGGCTCCAGAACAACAGGTTTTGTACATCTTAGGTTTACAAAATTTGGGGACTCACTTCAGGGATCTGAAAATATTTGCTAACTTTGCAAGAGACCAAGTATTTCTTCCATTTAGAGATTGGATCTATGGAGGTTTGTAAATGTCATAAGGCTGTATGTTATTTAAGACTTTCCCATACTACTGAAGTTCAAGGTAAAGTAGGAGAGGCAAAATTTTCTCCATACTGCTAACAGCAAAACAATTTTCTCTTCACTGTGTCTTCCCGTGTGTGCTAGCGAGGACAGTCAAAAGCTTTCTCAAGTTCTGAGTGTTCATCGTCAGGAGATCCTCAGTGCTGAAGTGCTTCCCAATGATCTTTCAGCCTGCAGGGCTTTGGCACATCAAACTGTGGCACGTACTTAGACTTTGGCACACATACCGCATTCTAGGCTCATTTTCCACTGTGATTTTTTTTTTTTTTTTTAATGAGGAGCTGTAATGTATGGAGATCTACATGGCTTACACTATCCATCTCCCATTAATTGTGGGTATTCATGTGTCTTCGAAGACTTTTGGAATATGAGAACATCTTACCACATTCTTTGCATACATAGGGCTGTCCATTGTGTGTTCTCATGTGATTCTGAATGTAACTGGAACAACTGAAGGCTTTCCCACACTCCTTACACTCATAGGGCTTCTCTCCCGTGTGAGTGGTCTCATGGTTTCGCAAGGAAGCAGCATATTTAAAGGTTTTGCCACACTGTTTACATTTATAAAGTTTTTCTTTGGCGTGGCATTTTTTGTGGTTTCGAAGGGAATAGACATAGGGAAAAGCTTTCCCACACACCTCACATTTGTAAGGCCAGGCTCCACTGTGTGTCCCTAAATGTCTTCTTGCACAGTGGCCGGAAGTGAATGTCTTTCCACACTGCATACATTCATAAGGTTTCTCTCCAGTATGAATTCTCTTATGTGCTTGCACATGGCTGGAATGTCTGAAGGTTTTCCCACACTGCTTACACTCATAAGGCTTCTCCCCAGTGTGAGTCCTTTGATGGAGTTTAAAGGAACAGTAACTCATGAAGGCTTTCCCACAGTCTTTACATTCATAGAGTTTTTCTGCTGTATGAAGCCTTTTATGCATATCGAGAGAACTGGAAGTCCAGAACATTCTCCCACATTCCTTACATTCAGGAATCTCTCCAGAGTGAAATGTTTTATGTTCCCTAAGGGCAACAGAATTAGGAAATGTTTTTTTACACACCATGCATTTATGCCTGTCTGCACTGTGAGTAAGCATATGCCTTTCAACACAGTAGCGGTAACTGAAGGCTCTCTCACAATACTCACATTTGTACGGCTTCTCTCCAGTGTGGACTTTCTTATGTTTTTTAAGGGAGCTGGGGCACATAAAGGCCTTACCACATTTTTCACATTCATAGTATTTCTTTACGTATTTCTGATAGTCGCACGGTTTGTGTTTATGCCTCTTCAGGGATGACTGACTGATAATGTCACATGAAGGAAGCTTTGGTTCAAGCATTTTCTTGTTTGTGACACTAACTTGATTTCGGATAACAGCTTCTCTACATTGGCCATTGTCCGTAGGTTCACAGTTTATCTTTACAACTTTAAGTCTGTAAAAATTGAGAAATACAATCTTAAGAGTTTGCTTTCTAATGATTTTATATTAGTAGATATTAAGTTTACATTGGGAACATTCACAATTTGAAGTGTGGGCAGGCAAGGAAGCAAAGAGTGAATGTGTGAAGAGGAGATAAAATCCTGAGTGATTGTATATTGCCAACACAGGCATGGCTATGTCTCAGACTAATAGAATAGCAAAGACTTCCTCCAGTTTGAATGCAAATGTTGCCAGTATGTTTGGCAACTAAGTACAAGTGTTTAAAAGTGACTCTTCAGTGTGTGTAAAGGTTAATGCAGCCCACACCTGCTGCCTACAGAGACCAGCTCTGCGGTATACAAGAAAAGTACTCACATTCTGGCTGTTGCCTGGCTGCTGCCACTGCAGCAAGCGCATGTGGCCCGCCAGACCCCAGCTCTCCTTTCCATGTGTTTGCCCTTTCCTCACTCCCTGCGGCCCCAGCCAGAGTTCCAATTTGACATGAGAAGAGTCAAGCATCTGTAAGATGTCTGGACCATAGCTATTATTATTACTTTTAAAAACTTAGTTATTTTCTCAAATAATGTGAATGTGGTGGTTTGAATGCTCGGTCACTAGCCGGTACACTGCTTAGGAAGGCCTCACTGTGGCATTGTTGGAGGTGTGTTACTGGGGAGGGGGTACGGGCTTTGCAACCCCACCCTCTGAAACTGATGCATGGCCCCAAGGAAATGCTTTCTTGTTTAGTCAGTTGCTTTTGATCATGGTGTCTTTTCATGGCAATAAATATAAGGGCAGAAGTTGACCAGGGATCAGTCATTGCCATGACAGGCCCTTGCTGCTTTTTGAGACTTTGGACGGAGAAAGCAGAGCTTACGGGCCATCTTAGTAGGTCAGAAGACAGCTGAGAGAAAGTGGACTACTACAGAGGACCAGCTCAAGGTTTCAGACAAAACAATATTAGCAACTGGGCCAGAGACCATTCTTGTAAGATTTGGCAAGGAATGTGTCTCTTTACAGTAATCAAAAAGGAAGTCAGTACCTGTGTATCTGTACCTGTGTACCTGTGTATCTGTGCATGTGTGCATGCACACACGCTGGTATGTTCTTGTGGAGTGCATACAATTTACCCTTTTCATTCAAATGCCGATTTCTCTCTACCCCACTACCTAGTTTCAATCCGGACATTGCATTGTGCTGTTTATTATAAGCATCACCTGTCTCAAATTTGATAAATGTGCTACCATTTGTTCTCTATATTGACAATAAAAACAACCAGCCAATGCTGAACAACGGAGAGGATAGGGTGGGGCATCCTGGTCCGGACGGGAGGAGAAAGGAGTGGTGGAAAGAGAGATCGGAGGAGAGGACCTGGAAACACTAGGAGAGATGAACCGGACCTAAGATATGACTAAAAAGCAAGTATATTCATTGTGGGAAATTTGAATGGGAGGAAGCTATGTAGGCATGAAGGTTTAGGATGGAGTAAATATTGCCCAGTATTGTGCTCTAGGTTAATTAAGTAAATCCTAGTGTCTGTGTGGTGATTTGGCTATATAGCTGGTTTAGGAATAACCACTGTTTAACTAAAAGATAATATTAAATATTAATAATCATCAATACACACAAAAAGCCACAAAAGCTGGGTGCCCTGGAACTCGAGCTGTGGGCAGTTGTGAGCGGCTTGATGTGGGTGCTGGGAAGCAAACTTGGGTACTCTTTAAGAGCCATCTTTCTCTGGCCCCATGGCTAGTATTGAAGCAGTATTTATCTGGACTATCTTGAAAATGCTCTTTTACACTTATTACTCATGTACATGTGTGTGCTGTAAGCTGGGCCCATGTCAAGAGTCCATGTGGACATCAGAGGACAACTTTGTGAAATTGCTCCTGCACCATCTTTACGTAGGTGTCAAACATCAAACCTGGGTTACCAGGCTTGCACAGTACCCTGACCCCAGCTGGAATGACTTTTAAAATTGTAACCAACTAACTTTACATCCTGGTAGGAATTTTCCTGGAATGTCTTAATACTGGCTCTATAGAAACTATTCTGCAGACCTCAAATATCTATAGTACAACACAGCTCACTCATTTTCAGAGTTTAGACAGAGAGGAGAAGAAGAAGAAAGAAGGAGGAGAAGGAGGAGGAAGAAGAAGAAAAAGAATAAAAAGCAGCAGCAGCTTGCATTTGTGCTGTTTTTAACATTTCCCTGACATCCAGTGATTCTCTTGAGGGACACAGCTATTTCTTTGTGGGTATCCATTACCTCAGATTTCTCTCTAGATTTCTGTAATAAGCTTCCAAATCCCAACATTCCCGTTTTATGCCTAAAACATAAACAAAAACAAAACATCAATGAACAAGAAAAAGAAAGAAGTGACCATTAGATGTTTAATGCACAAGGCTAACCCAGGCTGCCACACCAGCACCTAGCAGCAGCGAGTGAAGCAGGACATCCGACTTACCTACAGAAGTCAGGTTCCTGCAAGTCTCCAGCATCACATCTCTGTAGAGAATCTTCTGGGAAGTATCCAGCAATGCCCACTCTTCCTGGGTGAAGTACAGAGCCACATCCTCAAAGGTCACCAAGTCCTGAAACATCCATGTTATTCCAAATAAGGAGACCCGCGGATATCTATCGCACTGACACCAGGCTTCCGGGCCAATGCCGACTTCAAGCAGTTCCAAGACTTTGGAATCAGACTTGCTGTCTACACTCTCTCCCACACTGCAACTGTGATTTCAAGCAACAAATAATGTTCTAAAAACTGACCCAAAGCAGCTTCGGCGAGGAAAGAATGTGCGGTGGTTTGAGGGAAAATGGTCCACAATGGCTCCTCTACTTCAGAGTTTGGTTCCCAGTTGGTGGGATCTTACAGGAAAGATTGGGAGGCGTGGCTTTGTTGGAGGTGAGTCGCTAGGAAAGCATGTATCTGGGGGCTTGCTTACAGTGTCAGAGGGGGAGTCCATGGCTATCACTGGAAAAGCCCATGCCATTCCTAGTCTGCTCTGCCTCATCCTTCATGCAGTAGCTACTACTCCAGGCTGCTTGCCTGCACAATGATGGTCATGGGCTCCTGTAAGTTGCCTTGCTCATGCTGCTTCATAACAGCAGAGAAGCAACAAAGAGCTTATTTGGCTTACTCTTCCAGGTCACAGTCCATCATTGAAGGAAACCAGGCCATGGACTACAGCAGGAATTTGGAGCAGAAGCCACGGAGGCCCACTGCTGGCTCACTTGAAAGCTAACACTCAGCTAGCTTTTTTATGTGCGCTGGGCCATCCTAGAGCAATTAACAATCAAGACAATCGCTCACAGACACGAGCACATGCCAGCCTGATCTGGGCAGTCCCTCAATTGAGAGGCCCTCTCAGATATCTCTAGGCCGTGTCAAGTTGACAGTTAAAGCTGGCTAGGACAGACACACAGAAGGAGCAGCCATTCACTGGAGAGCACAGGCAGTGTGTGCAGTTGGACCACTCTAAACATTAAAATTTTGTGTGTATATGTATTTGTGACACAAAAGCAGTGGTCAGAGGAGACAGGGAACTGTGGAGTGGGCCTGGCCTGGCTGAGAGACACGTATCATAGATTTTTTTCAGGTTCTAGTCGATGGCTCCTGTTCAATGTGCCTTCTAGTTCCTCAAAGACAGACACACACTCCCTCAGTCAGTGAAGCATTCAGGCCACTTGGTGTTTCTCCTGAAAGCCAAGGTACAAAAAGTCTGATGACCCTCAATAAAACACAGCCTCAATCTTGAGGTCACTGCCTCAAGCTTGCAGTGACCCCCTCCAACCAGGTTGGTTGAATTTTCAAGACCATACCAAGTGACCTTGAGTCTGTAAGTAAGCACAGGTTGCTTACAAGAGGACAGCTCACAGGAAACAGCTGTCCTTGTACCGTGTGGGTCTCAGGGATCGAAAGGCTTGGGAGCAAGCACCTTTACCTGCTGAGCCACCCACCTGGCTCTTAACGTCTCCTAATACAATGTTACTGGAGAGCTGAAGGGATTAATAAGCTTTCCCAAGACTATCCCCAAGCAGCCAGTTCAGTGTTCATCCTCTGAGAGCATCTATCTAGGGTCTGGATTTAGAAAGGGATCCTACCAGCTTTAGTGGGAGAACCATACCAGGCACCTGGTCAGATGGTTTGCAAGGTCAAAGTGCTCGCTGTGAAAATCCAATGACCTGAACCCCATGGTGGAAGTTATTCTTTCATGTTCCTGTGTGCCATGGCACATGTGCAACCCCACACCAACAGTAATCATCGTCGATAAAAGAAACATTACTGGGGCTGGATAAATGCTTTGGCAGCCACCCCAGGCTCAGTTCCCAGCACCCACACAGTGGCTCATGACAATCTTTAAGCCCATTTCCACAGGATCGATGCCCTCTTCTGACCTTTGTGGGCCCTGCATGTATATGGTGCACACATGCAGACAAAACAACCACACAAACATACACAATCTCAAAACAAAACCGCACAGTCAACAGAGACAGTCAGAAGTAGAAGCCAGGCGTGGTGGCACAGCCTGTCATCCTAGCTATTTTAGAGGCTGAGGCAAGAGGATCACAAGTTCAAGGACAACCTGGGCATTGTCGACTTGAGCATGAACAATTTACAACTGTGTCTCAAAGGCAAAAGAGGGTTTGGATGTAGCTGAGTGGTACATCTCAACATGGAAGAGACCCTTAGTTCCCTCCCTAGTGGCAGAAAAACAAAACAAGTGCTGGCTACAGTCATCAACCTTCCTCTCAGCAATGAAAGCCCTGGCCCGTGTTTCTATTTGCACGGTTTCAGGTGTTGACCCTGAGCCACAGTAATCAGGCGGTAGGAGACGGCTCACTGGGCCAAGATGCTGCCTACACTGTGGAAGGACAGAACAGACTCCTGAACATTGTTCTCTGACCTCTGTACACACACACAAAATTTAAAAGTTGTAAAGCAACAAAAATCAAGCAACTGGCTAAGAAATACACGTTAGTGGGGGCACATCCCAAGCAATACCCAGGGAAAAACCAAGATTTCCTTTTAGATTCCTACTCTCATTTAGTACCAGAACTTAAAATTGACCCAGAGTGTGAGAGAAAACCAAGTGCAGGCAGACAAAATTCTGGCAGTTGCCATGGGGAGGCGAGAGGTGGAGAGAAATGTGGCACAGAAGTTGGAAGAGCGGTTAGAGGGCGCCTAGTACACAAGGGAAATCAGGTTTAGGCTTCAGGCTAATATCTGGACAAGAGATACAGACCTTTCAGCCTAGTGCAGGGACACAGATCAGCGGGTTCTCCATTCTAGGCTCTTGTCCCAAGGCAAAGGATTGCACCAGGGACACATGCTTAGAAAGAGAACTAGAGACAGCTTACTCAGGAAAGGGGACCTGGTGAGCTGGCTCAGGTGATGCTGCCAAGTCTGCTGACCTGAGTTCAAGCCCTAGAAGCCACAGGGTAGAGGAGAACTGACTCCTGCAAGTTGTCCTCTGACCTCCACACAAATGGCATGGCATAACCCCTCCCCCAACAAATGCACTTATTAATAAATAACAATGTATTAAGACTCTAGACAACCAATATGGAATTAGGCTGTAAGTACTGTCACCATGGAAAATTGTATGTGAAATCATGTATGTTAATTATTTCACAATGTATAAATTGTATTCAAGTATCATGATTTAACTTATATTCAAATGTCAGTTCAGAATTATACAAATAGTCCCTATCCATTGAACATACTACCCTGAACACATTTGATCTCAAAATTATATAAATACTTCAAAACAAGAGTAAATGTGGGGAAAGAGAGGGGGCTCCTAATGAAGAAAACCTGCTCCTCTGGCAGAGGACTGAAGTTCAGTCCCCAGCATCCATCTTGGGCAGTTCACAGCCACCGTGACTCCAGTTCCAGAGGATCCAATGCCCTCATCTAGCCTCCAAGGGCACCTGCACACACACAGCATACAGATATAAATAAAAGCCAATCATTTCAGAGTCTAGCAGCTCTTCAATAGCCTGTAGCTGTGACCCCCCTCCCCCCAGTATGAGGAATTGTAAACTGGAATTGAGCTGATGTAAACCCCTTCTCCCTTAAAAAGGTTAAATGTTAGGCGACACATGTCCGACTAACTGAAAGGAGGGCGGAGCACCCAGCCTAACTGCAGACTAACTGCAGAATCTTGAAGAGAGCTACAAGGAATACTGGGATCAAACAATGCTAACACAGCCGACCTGTCCAAGAAATTGCCACAAACCCTCACGGGTCTGTTTCTAAGCAGAGTATGGACTCACACAGGAGTAGAGTGGGTGGCAGCAGCTGGCTAACACTCCCCTCCTGAAAGCACTGGCTGTTCTTCCAGAGGACCCAAGCCAGTTCCCAGCATCCAGACTGGGTAGATCACAACCCTTTGACTCCAGCTCCAGGGTATGCAGTGCCCTCTTCTGGCATTCCCGGGCAACACACTCATGTACAAACACACAGAAAATTAAAAGTAAAATAAATCTTTAAAATACTCTCAAACTCTATAAACTAGAAAAAGACCATGACAGTTGCAAAAACAGGATAACTGGAGAAATGAAATTCAACTAGTCAAACTAAAAAATGAGACAAGGCTCAGCAGGTAATAGCATTTGCAGCTGCCGGGGACCAAGAGCCCCAGGCATCTAGTTCTGGTAACTGGAAAATTACTGACACCTGGGAATATAATCAACTTCAACCACCTGGAGGGGACTTCCCGAGAAGTTGCTAAACCACCCCCCCCCCCCCCCGCTCTGACTGATTTTATTGATCCCAGGAAGAGCCATGCACGGAATGTGCCACTTATGCAAGAGATAATTTGCCCCCTTTTCCCCGCTTGGGAGGGTAGTCGCTTCCTTATTTCAAAAATATAAAAGTATAGCTCCAGCGAGCAATAAACAGACCTCGACAACTCATTGCCTGGTCTCATTCCTTGTCTCTCGCCCGTTTTTCTTTCAGGCTTGGTTCTTCTCGGACCCCACGAATTACTAGGTCCCAAGGGTCGGGACATGCAGCCAAGCCTGATGACCCAGGTTCAATCCCTGGGACCCACAGCAGAAAGTGAGAGCTGACTTCTGAATGTCTTCTCATCTCCACATGCACTCCATGGCATCTGTGTGCGTGCGTGTGCGTGCGCACACGCACACACACACCCCTACACACCTAAAAATACACATATATACATATCTAGTATACATACCTAAAAATATACCATATATATATACCTTAAAAATATATGCACAGAAAATAAATAAAATACACAGAAATAAGACAATCTAGAAATCACCGATGACAAAAGATAACTCAGTGAAAATGAGCTAGTGGAAATTAAAGAGACCACAAAGAAATATTTAATAACTTGGTTGTAATTAACCAATTCCTAGAAAGAAATAATATACTAAAATTGATTATCAGTAGAGGTAATTTTGATAGCATGAAGGCCCAAGGCCAGCCTGAGCTGTAAGAGGCCCCTGTTCATTCCAGTCTTTAATATTCTTCCAAGTCCAGCCAATAAAACCAAAATCTTATATCATACCATGAATTAGAATTTTAATTTTAGAGACAAGGTCTCATTATATAATCCAAGCTGTCCTAGAACATACTATGTATGTAGCCCAGGCTGGCCTTACACTCCAATCCTTCTATCTCACGCTTCTAGAGTGCTGGAATTACAGGCATGTGCCACACACAGCGCCTGACTAGGTCAACAAATTCTCACCTACCTGCCTGCCTAAAACAGACTTTCATGATAGCAAGATTTTACAGAACAAATCCACACAGGAAAGTGGCCAGTTAACAGAGGACCCCTTATTCTGGAGGCAGAAGAATTTCTGGCCTAGCCTCAGTGGTACCTGAAACCCCACTGGAAAGCCAGGGGAGGTCAGTGAGCAGGCTCGGAGGTGAAGGTGCTTGCCACTGTGATACCCCACATAACAAATAACAAATCAGTGTAATGGGGGGGGGGTGAGGACATGGCTCAGCAGTTTGGAGCACTTGTTCTTTTAGAGGACCTGGGTTTGGTTCCCAGTACCCACGTGGTGGCTCACAACCAGGAGAAACTCCACCTCCAGGGGATCCAATGTCCTCTTTTGGCCTCTGTGAGCAAACATGGTGCACGCGTGATCTCATTGTCCAGCTGACCCCTGCTATTCCTGCGCTCCTTCCACTCATTCTATTCCCTTAATTTGTTGTTACTGTTGTTGCTGAAACAATTTCAAGGTAGCTCAGGCTGGTCGCCTAGTTCCTAAGCAGCCAAAGGGTGACCTTGAACTCCTGATCCTCTTGCTTCTACTTCCCTGTTAGTGAGATCACAGGCATAGGCCATTAATAACTTGCCTTTTCCCTGTTTCGGGGACAAGGTCTCATGTAGCCCAGGCTGCCCTTGAACTTGATTCTCGGGCCTCTGCTTCCCAAAGATTGGGGTCGCGGGGACACAGAACCATGCCTGGCTTACTAGAAATAAATTTGGTTTTTCCCCGTTTTTGTTGTTTTGATTAGTTTATTTACTTTACATCCCAAGGGTGCCCCTTCCCTCTCCAAATTTGCTTTTTTCCAATGTGCTTTTTTTCTTTAACAAATTTTATGTGTATGGGTGTTTTGTATGTACACCAGCTGCCTTCTCTTCTCCAGCCCTATCAATCTCTCCCAGCCTCTGCTGGCTTTTTATATCCTCTCCTGTTCCCAGAAACCCAAGAGGCAACCGACACTGAAGGTCATAGGGTCAAGCAGCTCTAATGGCTAAGCATTCCCAAAGGGCCAGTCGACTAGCAACAAGGAATCCTCTAAAGGGCCAGGCGCACAAGATAAATCCCATTACATCTGGAAAGCGCCCCACGAACAATTAACTCGGTGAGGCCCCTTTCTACCTGAACCCTGAGCACACACATACAGGATGGGAAGGGGCCCTGAAGTTGGTTTGCAAGCTTTGGGCAAGTTCCCGGAATTTCCGGGCTGCCGACTGCGCAGAGCCTGCGCCTCCTCCGCCCTCTACTTCCCATCCGCGCCTCCGCGCAGCACTCACCATGGCGCGCTCTCATCCACCCCGCACTCCGCCGGGTTTCGAAACCGACCGTGTTTGCTGCCGAGCCGCCAAAGGGAGGCCTACCCGCCGCCAAAGGGAGGCCTACCCCGCCGACGCCCTGCGGAAGAGCGGCTGTCTGCCACTGATTGGACGACTCCGCTGCACGCAACCCCGATTGGCTCTGGGGCGCCCCTGCTCCCTGATGGACAGCGACAGCGACCTATCGCCTCCTGCACAGTCCGGAAACCCGTGCCCAGGCCTGGCTGCTTGCTTCCCGAGGCATTCCAGCTGGCTCAGACCTGATTGGGCCTGCGTACCTGGCTGTAAGAGGCGGGAGGATTTGGAATTGTGGGCTGTTCTCGGCTGAATAGTGAAAGATCAGCCTGGCTGCCGGAGAACTTGTCTCCAAAAAGGACACAAGAAAAGCCAGATTTATTCGCGGGAAATTGGATTGCACCAGGGGAACTCAGCACCGGAAGGTGGGAGTAGGATTAGGAGTTCAAGGCCAGCCAAGGCTACCATGAGAGCTGTTGGGGGCCAGGCCACTGTAAGGCTTTCTCAGAAGCCCTGATGTGAGCACAAAGAAAACTCTAGTTCTGTGTCCTTATCCAGGGGCAGACTTAGCAAGGTCCGGGCTGTGGCCAAAGCTTCGAAGGGAGTCAAAGTTTTGGAGGACCATCCTCCCCCTCCCCCCCTGTGGTTATCATTACCAAGGTCACTGTATACTTAGTCTGTGGCCTACTTGAGATATCCCGTGTTTTGTTTTGTTTGTAGCAGCTGAGAGGAACAAGTTAACTTTACAGGTCTCTTTATAAGAATGTTATACCCCGTGCTAAACTAAGTTCTCTCAGTACTTTTCCAGAAAGCAGAAGGACACAGACAAAAGAAGAAGCGGATGAATTGGGACAAGATCCACCCTGCTGTAAAAAATTAAACTAGGCCGGCAGTGCCCAAGGTCTTCTCTCTGTTGCAAGATTGCTCCCAAGGTCTCCTCCCTATTGCAAAGGAACACCCAAACCGGCAGTACAAGATAGGGTTTCCTGGCAACCAGTCCAGAAGGTCACAACTCCCTCACCCTGACAGCTCTTTACTTTTCGGAGAAGTCACAGGATGTGATGGTTACCTCCCTCCCCAACTAAGACCGAATCTGCATATCATAAGACATCCCGGGTGTAACTTAAAGATCAGATATCCTTTAGACATCTGGGGACTTGGGTGCCTAAAGTGAACCAATTTTGTACTGACAAGCTTGCAACCCATGCCTCTCCATGCTTTTTTCTTTAAAAACCCAAGGCTTTTGCTCCCAGTGCTGTTCCTTGCTTACTTTCAATGAGGCCCCATTGCACGATGGTCTGAATAAACCTCTTGCTTTTGTACTGGTCCATTTCCGAGTTTCCCTCAGTTGCCTCTCTGGCAGTTAGACTCTCCTTGGACTTAACACAGCATTGCTAGATAAAGTTCCCTGTTTGATAGGGTGTTTGGGACCCCGGTGTAACCCTGAACCTTTCTCAGGGTTAGCTTTTAAGCACAAAAAAGCAAAACAAAACATGTCCAGGGATGATATGCTTCAGTTAGCAAGACCAATTAGCCAGAAACGACACTTCTCCGGCTTTGATGGATTAGCCCTTTGTTAGTTTTGACAGATGGCCCTTACAGGCTGCAATTTACAGTCAAAATGGCACTCCTACCATGGAGTCAGTTGTGGTAAGGTCTGGGGCCTGTTATAAGAACATCTGAAGGGCAGCAGTCTCTCTGAGGAGTGGAGACTGCTTATGTGACATGCATCTCAGCCATTTGTCCTGAGTTGGAGACCTTACAAGTGTGTGTGTGTGTTGTCTTGGAATTTTATACGGTGGAAAAGGAGGAACCTTAGGGCTGGAAGAGTCAACCAGTTCCCCTGCAGTCTGGAAGAGGTGCAAACCAGGAGGTTTTTCCTTTGTAGCTCCTCTTATCAGAAGCTCCCACAGGCATCATCAATCAAGACAATTTTACTGCCTTCTGCCTCTAAGTCCACCTGGGGCTTTTAGGTGTACAACCCTTCATTCACACCATCTGACAGGTGAACAGATGGGGGTGATGTATTCTCCCCAAGGCCTCTTCCTCTCGAAGTGGAACAATGCAGAGGGTTGTCTCTAGGATCTAAGGGGCCATAGGTCGGGCTGACTTCATGCAGAAGGAGGAAAGCTTTAACTTGATAGGCAATGGAGGCTCCGGCATTTGCCATCATGTTCTTCTAGAGAAACTTCTGAAAAATGATCACTAGGAGACTGGACACATGATTTGGTTACAGAGTGAAACTCAGAGATTGCTCAGGAAGTGGAGGGGGAGGAGTGGAAGAGACACCCAGAGGAGCTGGTGAGAGGAGGTAGATGTCCTTAGATGGAGGCCCATACAGGGAGCAGGAGGGACTGTATTGTGTCTCTAAGGGCTATGGGCTTTTGGCTGGGGTGAGTTGATGAGGAGAAGGATGCTAGTTGTGCTGGCTAGAGTCCTCTAAGAGGAGGGAACCTCAATTAAGAAAATTCCTTCACAGGGAATCTTATGGAGGAAGAAAGGGATGGGAATAGAGGGACATGGAGGGGACAGCAGTCCCACAAGGAAACCAGCAAAGCTAAAAGATCTGAGCCCAGGGATCCTGCAGAGACTGATGTACCAGCGGAGGACTATGCATGGAGAAGACTTAGGACTCCTGCTCAGATGTGGCCAATTGGCAGCTCAGTCTCCATGTGGATCTCTGAGTGAGGGGAGCAGGGACTGTCTACCATGAACTCAATTGACTGCTCTCTGATCACTCACCCCTGGAGATGTGGATTGCCAAGCCACAGAGGAAGAGGCAGTCCTGATGAGACTTAACAAGCTATGGGTAGATGGCAATAGGGGAGAACTCCCCTTTCAGTGGACTAGGGGAAGGGGTGGGGGAAGAAGGACAGAGGGTGAGAGTTGAGGGAGGGGTCTTCAATCTGCATATATAATGACATATAATGAATAAATTGTGAAGAAAAAGAATTAAAAAAAAAAAAAAAAGAAAGAAAAATCCTCTGTAAGATCTGGCTGTACCCAGCCTGTAAGGCATTTTCTTAATTGGTGATGGCTGGGAGAGGGGGACAGTTTTAGCCTTGATTTTTTTAAAACAAACCTACTTTACTTAGGGTTCTTAAACACTTCTACCTCCCTTCCAACCCCTCCCCCCAACACCAGGTAGGAGGAAAAGAAGATTAGCGGGGACAGGGGTTGGAGTTCTTTATGTTATTTCCTGCTGGGGCCAATATCAGTTGACCTGACCGAGCTGCCCAGTCAGGTACCCGTGCTGTGAGGCTGCAAGAGAGGAGTGAGGATTGAAAAGACAAGGTGAGAAAACATTAGCAGGACTTCAGCAAAGACTGAAGCGAGTTTATTTTTTACAGGCTCACTTACATACCTAAGAAATGCTTACAGCTTAAGGCTCACAGAATAGTCAACTTCCTTATTTCCCAGAATAGAGGTACAACCAAGAACAGACATTATCTCACTTCCTTAATCAAAAATCTGTAATGGTGCAACAGGCCAGCATGAGCTTTGTGCTGATTGAAATATTTAAACGTTAACTTCCTTAAAAACGAGTTCTCTGCAGCTTTAACAGGACAAAGGTCTTAAGGTTAAAGCTGCAAGCTAGCATCAACATGGAGTCAACAATATTCATGGCTCTCCACAATCAGTTGTTCAGAAGTCCAGGTGACCAGCAAATCAGCAAAGAGCAAATGCTGCCTCAGAACAAACCAGCAGTAAGCAGTCCTCCTCCAGGCAGCTGCGCCTCCTTCCTCTGGGCTGTTATATTTATGCCCCTCAAAGTCCTCAGAATTCAACTAATTCCACCTGAGGAAAAACCACACTCTGCACTAGACACTTAACAGGTGTGGACAGACTAAAATCTGACTTGGCATTTTAACAAAAACATGTTTACAGATCATAAACTGAAACATCCACAGCAGTTATCTAGCCTCTGCTTAGTGGTGCATTGTTGTCTGGCAGTGTCTTCATTAAAGTAAGGACCAAGCAGTGACTGGGACAGAGTCAAAGGGGAGGAGTTCAGGAACAGGGAGGAGACGGGAGTCAAGAAGAAGAGGGAAGAACTGGAACTTGAAGCCTATAAACCATCCAATATCTAGGCACTGCGCTCTAACGCTGGAGAAGGCTGCATGGAAAGACATGGCTACAACTACAGGAAAAGTAGCAGTCCCCAAGGGAGGCCAGGGAAGTCGCCATAGGGAGGGAGACAGAGAGGAAGGGGAAGAGAAAGAGGAAAAGCTTATGCAGAGAGAGTGCAAGAAGCAAAATGTCTGGATTATATAGGGAAGCCCAGGCCCTGGGCTGGAAAGTTCAGAGTAGAGGGTGGGGCATGCCAGCCACGCCCTGTGACAGGTAGGGACTGAGGGACGCTGGGAAAACCTGGAGCAGTCTTCAATTCTGCTACTTGCTGCTGCTCTGCCATGGGATCCTCTGTACCCGTCCCTACTCTCCCTACTCGCCTAACCCGGCCCCAGTTTTCTCCTTATGGGCGGTTTCCAGGGTGAATGGCTTGGTCAGGGTACATGCCCCCTTCTCATTAAGTGCAAAATTCACCAAAATAATGCTGCCCACCCAACTGGGGCTGAGGAGGTTCCTGAACAGTACCACAATACCCTAGGGGCATTTTAGCTAAAAATCAGTTTACAATTTGCTCTTGGCTGCTCTCCTTTTCTTTCTTTATTCCTTCCTTCCTTTCTTTTTTTCTTTCTTTCTTTCTTTCTTTCTTTCTTTCTTTCTTTCTTTCTTTCTTTCTTTCTTTCTTTCTTTTTTTGAGACATGGTTTCTCTGTATAGACCTCGCTGTCCTGGCTGGTCTTGAACTCTGAGATCTGTCTGCCTCTGCCTCCTGAGTGCTGGAATTAAAAGCACGCACCACCAGTGCTCAGCAAATTTGTAGCCCAGGCTGGCCTCAAACTTGTGATTCTCCTGCCTCTGCCTCCTTCAGCAGATTGTACTGGCATGTGCTACCACAACTGCCTGGCTGCCCTTAAAGCAGTAAATTATGAAACAAATCCAAGAGTTCTTTCAGGACAAAC